ATAGAAGGCAAGAAAATGTCAAATTGCAAATAATTAGAATAATTATTGATCTACGATTTCTGAATAAATTAGAATAAAATTACCTCTGTTCAAAGAATAGAGAGCAGTAACAGAAAAGGCTATTGAATTGTTTAAAATTAGTAATAGGAATCAAAAACACAAAACAGTTGCCTCCAACTTTCTAGATAGAAGGAAAAATGCATCTTTCATCAACTCACAATTATTCTGATCTTAAAACGTGAAGCTGGACCGTGTGCACAATGCCATTAAATTTTATGCGCTAAATTATGTTATTTTGAAACGGAAGCATCGTTAAAAGATATACGGTTGATAAAATTATGAGACGTCGGTATTGAACACGAATAAAGTCTAGCCACAACCATCTTTCTTAGAAAATAATGTCGTTCAGCTTATCAGTGCAATCAGTAGAATTTTATTTTTCAAATGCACGCGCTCTTCAATATAGCGCGGGTGCTACTGATAAACTTGCGATAAAGTTTCAGCTCGAGATAAGCCTCTCAGCCTCGGGCCACTCTGGTCGCTAGAAATATTAGTCCCTGAAACTACATCTAAGCCAGGAATTGAAGTGTATGACTGCATCAAATTCAGACTTTTCTGAAAAGATTAAAATTGCAGAGAATATTTAACGCGATAGATAATGCGAGAAAATAATAAGTTTAGATCTCATTGATCACCAACTCATTTTTGAAGTATTTCGAAACTTACGAGATTTAGAGAAATCTATATACGAGTGTTTCTCTACAGAGTTTAGCATGAAAGTAACTACATGCTGATGTCCCGTGAAAGTATTTGTAGTCAGTGCCTTAAGTGGTTTTGGGAAATAAGTATGATAAAAGAAGACTAGCGCAAGAAATAGTCGCCAAGTTTTTTCACAGGAAACATAGTGAAGGCAGCGTGCGTTGGTGAAGTTCTCAGAGCTGTGAAGATACAGGGGTCCTGGTGTTCTTCACTATAATTCAGGTATGAATTATTTGGTGAAGCTTGAACCATTTGAGGCTTGGTAAGTTACTTTATTCTTCGTTTCTACTCTACCTTACGTGGTGTATCTTGTTCATATTAGTCATTTGTTGCTTGGCGATGGAAATAATTTGTAGGCTATGATCGGGAGCGTATCCACGATACTTATTGGGTCGGGATATTGCCCTGCAGGTTTGTTATTTTTATATGGGGAATTCTATATTAAATTTTTCGGGGGAAAAATAAGATTAGAAAATAAAATGTGGTTTTAAATTTGGTAAGAGTTAATTTTAACTCGAAAATAAAAAATTTGAAAATTTCCTTCAAATTTCAAATCAGTATTTGAAGAGGCGTTCTGTGCTACATGTGGTTTTAAACGGGTTTTCTCCAAATATGGTATTTTAATNGTAGACCGGCGGTAGAGAACACGGACCAATATCTGCCATACATAGCGAGAAACCCGCTATGGGCCCATGACCCGCAGTATAGGCTCGCTGCCCCATGTTACCCTACAAAGAAAGTGGCACGCAAAGTTTTGAGTAACTTCATTCTAATGCGACCCCAATTATTTTAGAAATTGAATGTCGTAAGCAAGTTTACGCCTCACTTGAGACGATAAAATTGTGTCGGAAATATCTATTCTGCAGCATAAGCAGCAGCGAGCAACTTCGGAAGAACACACAACAAAACTTGCATTTTTACCTTAACCTCTGCCTTTTAAACTCGTTACTTTTGTAATGTTATGAATGTTCTATTTTAAAAGATTGACATTTTATTTTGAAATTCATTAATTTAAAATTACCAAGTATTGATATGATTTAATCCTTTAAATGCTATACATGTTTCATATATTTATTGACATCTTATTTAATGAAAAAATCTAACTTATATTCGCTGATTAATTCTCAACTTTTAGATAAAGTTTTTCCCAACGCAGATCCATGCATTACAGACAGAAGGTGAGTATCTCATTCGTACATACATTATAATATATTGTATAAATATATATAGTAATCTGGTGCTTATTTGAGCCATATTATTTATAAAACATAAGAATTATTGTAATGGTCCGCCAAAAAGTCCTAATAAAAACAAGACTGGCTTTGAAATTATCGACAGTTTTCAAACCATGCGGTAAAATCGTCCATGGGGATTTGACGGGGTTTTACTTGTTTCAGTTTAATGTGTATCTTACTCGTGAGAAATTTTTTTTCTTGTTCAAATTGTTTCATCACGGCCTGCCGTAGAGATCAAAACGCTTGGAAAAACGTTTTACACCCGTACTGAAAATTATTTCTTCGACTTACAGTCCAGCTGCGAAACGTTGTAAGAACAACACGAACACCTTTAAGACGATGCAACAACACGAATCTAAATGCAGGCTTCCAGACTGGCAATTTAATATGATGAGCGTGGAGTGTATAAAAAGATTTTTTTTGCTTCAATTTCACAGGTTTGTGAGTCGTATTGTAGCGGGAGAACTACGCTCCATGCACAAAGTTACTGGGTCTCTGCAAGCGGGCCCAAACGTACGAAGACGAATCAAACTGGATCGGAAAACTTCCAAGGGCCATAAGGTTTAATTAACTTCCATGGAAAACTGGCAACCACGACATAGGACTTTCACTAAATGCATATAAGCTTGCGAATAAAGACAGTGCATGGACATTAAATACAAATATTTACAGTCATTACAAAGTGTGGTAGGTCAGGCAAAGGTAGGCTGCTTACTAGCAATCCGCTGCTTCCCGCGAAAAATACCTATGCACACTTTTTCTCTTATGTCTCCGTTAGAGAGGTGCGGCGGCTGAAGAAAACTAATAGCGCGGCCAAGGCTGGCCCGCTACAGTATCAATTAAGTACGAGCCAAAGAACGATCGCCCTATATAATTTTTAGACGTTTAATTTTAATCAAAGATCAGAATTTTAGTGTTCAATCATGTTTTCTGTTCGGGTCTTTTTTGTAACCGGAGACGAAGCACAACTCCGACGCTGCAGCTGTATTTGATGCTACTTTAATCATGTTTGCGTCCATCGTTTATATTGCGATATTAATGCAATAATATCGATATCGTTAATAATTTTGTTATTGTGGTTCCTGCTGCTGTCGTTGAAGTAAAGCCTAAACCTCTACGACTGATTAATTTTCAAATTGGTTGTTTATTGATCACGAATTAAGTTTCAAAATCATTAAATTTAAGCCAAACTTGTAAAATAGTTTTAGAGCCTGCATCAGCTGAAACATGATCTGCTAGGTCGTTCATTTATGTGCCTCCATTAATTATTACGTCCAGGCCTCTTGGTATGAATAGCATTGGATATGTTGTTTAGAGGCGGCTATCACGATTTTTCTTGTGGTCGGTCTCGCATTCTCTCAGTGTCAGGAACCATATATAAATTTTCGCACCTAATCATGCATTTTTTGTTCTCTATGTCAAAATGGGTCGTAGTCAAGTCAAGAGGCACTGATTGAAAGCGGATTGCTAATCGGACTAGGCCAAGTTCTGACTCATATAAATATTATTGAATGCATCAAGTAACATAACAATGAAACTATTATGAACAACATTTTTGCAAACAGGCAGCCTATAGGCCATATCCAGAGTCCCTTTTACTGATGGACAAGATAGCGATGATTGTGAGCTTCAATGCTGATACCAGTAATATAGAGATCAAGGAAATACCAGTTGTAGCAGTACGTGATGATGCTACCATTGATGATGCTACCTTGAGATGCTACCATTTTTAATTTGTAATGTAACTCACAATTGCCCTAATTTTAATGTTTGAGGCAGATTTGATTTAATCATCTTATTTTTTTCCTACAAACTAACTGGAGAAATTTGGAAAGGGAAGCAAGAACTCCTCATATATGACTGATGTTTGCGGAGAGTCAATTATGAGGGAAAATAATGACTTACCAATTCCACGTTTCCATAATATCTTCGAGCATATTCTGGATTATGTTCCATCGAAATTTCACCCATATATGGGACGATATAAATAGATGCTGATTCACAAGCTCCCCAGCATATTACCGGAGCTTCCGATAACAAGCCATTGAAGTTGCAATGCAAGATAACGTGTTCAGGAATTGAATTTCATGTTCGTCGTATTTTCACGAAGACTTTTTAAATAAATTTGAATAAATTTATAAGTGAAGAGAACGCAATTATTAATTGTAAGTGCATGACATGAAGACACGTCAACGAGAATAATTAATTTCTCTTTAATTTCTTCCAAGATTCAGAACAAGATCAACGCAGCCTGAGTGAGTCCTTGGTTCCAAGAGAAGCAAAGGCAAAATAAAAAATTCCACTTCCAACTAACGCAAGGGTGCAATGGACCTCGCCGAATGTTGAGGAATTTTACAGGGAACAATAGGAAGGGCCCAGATAACCGATAATTTACTGAATGCGGGCAGGAACAAGGAGGCAGGGCGTGATGTATAAATTCTCACTGCTGCAGGGATGTCTGTGCTGCATCATGGTGTCCTTCACTCTCCAGGTATTCATTAAAATCGGCCGATAGGCATGAGCTCGTGTCAAAAGCTGCATTTTGTTTCATCATTATATGCATAAGTATATCGAGACTAGCAACTGTAATCAAGTGATAAGTTTGACAATTTTGCCATTCAATTAATTTTTTAATTCGTTCAGAATTCATGTTCTTTCCAGGATTATTAAAATTTATTTTTTTTTCTAGTCTATTGTCACTAGTTCAGTTTAAATTGACTTGAAATGTATCGCGTCCGTATCTATGAAATGTATCTATTAACGTCAAAAATTATTCAAATGAGGTGTGGCCATTAAAATATCCCGAAGACTTTTCAGTTCCCATAATGCTTCTTCGAAGGATTTAGTTGAGAACATAATCACATTCACAAATACATGCAAAACATACTGACCGTATTTACTTATTATATATAATATTATTATCAATATTATCATATTATCAATTTCTCCTATAATTCAATTATGAATCATTTAATTAAAAAATTATTCTTTTATGTTCATGCGAGGATGGTTTTAATATCTTTTTCTACTTTTGAGCAGGATCAGGTCGTGCAGGATCAAGGTGCGTGTCTCAATTCGATTTCTTTTAAAAAACATTGCAGGGAACAACATAAATTTGTGAAATATTCAACAAATTCATAAAAACATCTGAAATGATCAAAATACAACAACAATAACAATAATGATTAATCGGTCTTATTGCATGAATCATTTCACTGAAAATAATAAACTGCGGCGTTGTAGTGCATTAATTTATGAAAAGCTTGCATAGTGTTTCGCAAGTAAAAGGCGAGAATAATAAAAAATCCAAACAAACTTTACTTGTACAACAATTGCGAACAATGTCAAATGAGGGAACCCGTGTAAATGTTTGATAATGTTATTTTTATTTATATAAGATTATACCAAACACACAGAACGATTGATATGCTACCTTCTCTTGCTCAAGCTCGAGAAGCACGCTGGCCATTCATGTCAAAGATTTCTTTCATTTTCAGTCGCACAATACTTCTGTGATTTGACTGCAATTTTTTTAAATGACTCATCACAATAAGATCGCTATTTCGTAGACACGTAAGACTTAACATTGTGAGGCAAGATGATGACGATTAAGGGAGGCAACTTGAGTATGAGTTAGATGAACACAACTATTCGCAAGTACATGATTTATTACAAACGAGTTAAACTCCGGCGAAACGAATTTATTTCTTTATTAATTGTTCTGACTTATTTATCAGCACTTATTTTCTGGAAAGTTTTGCTATGCATGACTAGATACAAATATTTGTGCAAGTTCAAATTTGGATGAAATTAGGTCGCAGTTGCATTACCGAATATATTTATCGGCTTCCTGAGAAATGTCCCGATTAAAATTTCACTTCTTGAGAATAAAGATGACATATTTCCTGCAACACAAGTTGTTCGTCTGCCTCCGTGATACATTTTCTCTCCAGTCATGAAGAGGCCTCCCAAGTCTGGGCTTGATCGGTTATTATGTATTTACGTTGGATTATGCATCGCAGTTCCCAAAATTATAAATTCGTTCGTCAGAAATTTTTTTGCGATTGACAAAAATGGAATTGAAACGCTTGGACCGATGCGAATGGGATAGGGTGAAGTGAAATTTGAACATATCATCTTAAAATAGGTTTTAACCCATATATATTTTTTGGACATTCTCTTAATCTCTAGAATTTTATAATTATTAGTATTTATGCTAAAACTTGCAGGTCAAGCATTGTAATACAATTAATATTGTAAAAAGATGCCATCTTGAATAGAACGGTCCTTAATTTTCACGGCAAGGCTTAGTATGGGTGGAAATATCAATGAATATTGATAAGTCGATACAGAAACTTACAAGTATCCAATTGGGTTTTCAAATTCGTTAAATGGGTCAATAAGGCTTACCTGTTGCTTGAAGACTGTCTTTTTTAATATTTCCAATCAGCATTCACATTGAGATTTCATTACAGTTCCCAGCGCACCAACTGATCTCAACATCGAAGCTCTCAACACCACATCAGTGCTGGTGACGTGGCAAGCTCCCGAGGAGGAGAACGGCATCATCACCAATTACACGATCCGCTGGAAGCTCGTGAGTAGCGGAAATGAAGCAGACGATGACCAGATAATTACAACGCTTGGTGACAGCTACGAGTGCGAAATACCAGACCTGATCGAGTGCCAGACCTACGACTTCTCCGTGTCGGCCTCCACCAGCCGTGGCGAGGGAGCGAGAAAAACCACGCAGCGAAAACTACGATGCGCTGAAGGTGGGGGTACAGCCCATAATGTGCAGAATAAGGATTGAAATAGCAACTATTAATCATTAATGCACATCTCTGTGCACCCATGTCAAACTTAATCAGGGAGTAACATTTTTAGTGACTCGTCCAGATTGACTAGACCACCCGCCACCGTGACAGGGGCATCTGGCTCTTGCCATGTCTTGACTGCAGAGGCTGGTAGTACTCTCATGGAACACTCCTGCTGCGTGCCTTTATATTAATTTCGGCTTGAAGCAGGTCCATTATTGATACCAATTCATTATTGATACCCAACTTTCAACTGTCATTGAAGCTGGAAAAAAGCTGCATTTCGTTGCAGTTGTCAGACTTGTTGTCGATAGAGCAAAGTATAATGATTATGTTGATAATTCGCAACTGCATGGGTCCAATACGTTCTTAATTGTCAGATCAATACAATGGAAGGTGAATGATTAGAGTTTTAAATATACTTAATACTTATTTAGGGTTAGACACGGTGAGGTTAATACAGACATTGCAGTGTAAATACAGGTGATTGTAACGACACTATAGCGGTAGACACAATTGCAGGAGCCGTCTAAGTAGATGCAAATAGAGGCAGGCTGTCCTGTACAGCGCGGGTTTTTTGGTTACTTTCTGCTCAGCGACTGAGGTAGGGAATGCTTGAGGAGCTTAAATAGACGTACAGCAATGACCTCACAGAAGGTGACGCAGTAACCGCTACAGCAAGTCTGGGAAGTAACGGTAGACAACCTGACACAGTTGCCCAGTGTCTATTTGTATGGTATTTGTATGGTATGATAACTTTGGGTGATGTTTAATTTGTTTGCATTTGTTCAACATATAGGGAGTCTAATGTAGTGATTATTTTCTCACGGCCTCCTGAAGCTCCAAGCGCACCTCAAAACTTGATATTGTTGGCGGCCCGGAGCGACGCTCTTGTCGTTCAGTGGGACGCGCCTGCGACACTAAACGGCGTCGTGGGTTATTACTCGGTCAAAATCAGCCGCGGCACCGACGTGGTCACCAACAAAAATATTACAGCTTCGGATTATCAAACTCGCTTCGATTGTACCGTGGACGGCCTCAGTGCAAGCACAGTGTACAACATTAGTGTACGGGTGAGTCCAATGGCTCTAATTACATGATTACCCTGTTTAGTGTTTACCTGATGTAACTGACAACCCTTGTGGCGATCTCGAACTATCACAACAACATAACATAGTGAGTATGATAGTGATGTCGGCGCTGAGGAGTAGGCCTGATGTGGCCTATCGCCGATTCTTGTACTTTACATGACTTGTTAACAAAAGATCTAAAATCGTGTCATTTAACCAGATCTCTTCAGGACTGACGACCAATAGATTGAAATAGCTACTAGACTTCCACCGGGTTCGATATGGTGCTACGCATTTCAAATCTGAACATATATTTTTCGATAGCTTTATCTAGTCTGTTCTTGAACGCGTTCATACTTGGAGCGCCAACGATGTAATCGGGGAGGCTGTTCCACATGTCGGCGATTCGAAGCGAGAAGAAATGTTGTCTCGTGGATAAGTTGCAGCGCAGTTTTTTTAGTTTATAGCCGTGGCCTCTGGTTCAGTTGATCTTGTTTCAAATTCTAGTAATCCTTCGGGACCTTGCATAAACCATGAGGATAAATGTATATTTCAATGAGGTCCCAACGCAGACGTCGATAACTAAGATTTGGAAGTTTCATAATAATTAATCTTTCTTAATAGGACTTCCCCTTCAAGCCTGGAATTATCCTCGTTTCACGTCTTTGAACATTCTCTCTTAAACTTTTGTCCTTTTCAAATCTCGGTGACCACACAACGTTTCTAAACTCTAGATTCGGGCGCACGACAGCAACTATAACAACTGCTTCATCGCTTTTGCATCTAGGAACTCATAAGAGCGTCTGATTAGACCAAGAAATTTGTTGGATGTTGCACTACGGCTTGTAGTGCGTAGTGCTACTTCGTAGTGCTAGTGCCCCATTTAGCATACGGGCCCATGTCTTCTCATAATGTAATTAAGCTTGCTACTCATTGTTCTTCCCGAGGTAAGTACATACTTAACACTTGTCAGCATTGAACCGCAGCTGCCACGTATCAGCCCAGTTAACTTAACTATCAAACTCATCTTGCAATTGCAAGATGCTTTATTGCTTTATTATATTGCTTTGCTTTATTTGACGCATCCTTCACTGTATTATAAACTTTCGTGTCGTCGGCATACACGGAGCACACGCTGTGCTCTACTTCTGGCAGATCGTTTACAAGAGCAACGAACAAAATAGGCCCAAAAACGCTTCCTTGTGGCACGCCACTGCGCACGTACTGATGCCCAGCCTGACACGGTTCCGTTAATACTGACACGTTGTCGTCTACTTACTAGAAAATCTCTGATCCACTGGAGTACGTTTCCCTCAATTCTCAAAGACTTCACTTTACGCAACAGTCGCTCATGCGGAACACTGTCAAATGCTTTGGCAAAATCGAGGTACAATGCATCCACTGGCTTCCTGTCATCCAGCTGGCGAGTCCAATTGTTCAACGTAGATAATAAGTTAGTGGTGCAGGATCTACCGGCAATAAAACCATGTTGACAATCTGATAGGAGATGGTGAACAGTCAAGTGATCGATAATCCTGTCCCTCACCACAGATTCCATTACATTACAAACAGCACTTGTCAGACCGACAGGGCTATAGTTAACGGGGCTAATTTTGTCACCTTTTTTGAACAATGATGTTACTTGAGCTTCTTTCCAATCGGACGGCAAAGTTCCTTCGTTCAAGGTTTTTTGAAAGAATACTGTCAATGGGCCGGCCAGGACGGTTGCTGCCAATTCTTTGAGCAATCTTATATGGAAGCCGTCTGGTCCACATGACTTGTTGCGATTTAGAGCTACCAGGCGCTTGAGAACCACTTCTTCGTGTATTTCAAAACCTGTTAACTTCGAGCCGACTGGGCGCTCCTCAATATCTTGAATGCTGTTTAAGTCCTCACCCGTGAACACACTAATGAGGAACTGCTAGAGAACGTTAGACTTGCCCTCATCAGAGGAAATATTTCGTTGGTCTACTATCAAATTAGATATACCGTCGTTTGTCTTACACTTCAAACTATCTTACAAAAAGAAGGCTTTCGGATTCTTTTTTGCATTTTTAGCAATATTTTTCCGAAGTTTTTCACTGCAGTGTGACAGACTTTTTTAGCTTGATTTCGAGCTTTTGCATACAGGTTATAATCAGCATCGCTGCGAGTTCGTAAATAACGCCTGTAGGCTTCCTTCTTGGTCTTTAGCTGAGCTATAACTGTACTGTTCATCCACTGGGACTTTTTGACTCCTCCAAGCGTAACTTAGGTACACAGACATCAAATGAAGACATAACCATGCAAGTCTTCGAAATATGATCATGAATCAGTCACATTCATGTTTTTAATATAGTCCGAAATATTCGCCGCATTCACTGTTTCATGGAGTTTATCATAATCGCCTTTTGCAACGTTCAAACGTTCACGCTTCCGAAGCGTCTTTTCTGCATGGCACTTCATACTCAAAAACAATGATTGGTGGTGGCTTTTACTCAACGGAGCCTCGTTGCAAACCTCATCTAACATTGATTCTTCACTGGAAAATACTAGATCTAAAATATTTGGGGTTTGTTTACCCCTAAAATGGGTTGGCTTGGTGATGTTCTGGATTAAAAATGAGTCTCGCACAGACTCCAGGCCTCATATTTTTTCGACGAAAAAAATGTGAGGCTGTAAGTATTTTGTCGCACACTGCCGACCTGTAAATTCACGCTGACTTTAATTTTATTTTTATACAATCTAAACTGAGAATTATTATGGCATCACACTCAACGCAGGCACAAAATATTGAATTTAAAACACGTGCTTAATGATTTAATAAATATGATTTTTACTTGAGATAGCATGTAGGCTCGCTATATCTGCCTTGAAATGAAGAACCTTCATGTCATCTACAGAAACTTTCATAAACATATGCTTTCAATGAATAGTTCCCACCTACAGGCAGTCACGAAAGAAGAAGGTGAATCTGTGGTGATGCCGTTCAAGACTTTACCCGAAAACGGGTCTGGACGCGTGGCGGGCATCGTCATTGGCTGCCTGGTGGGGGTGGCGCTGGTCGTGGGGCTCGTGGTTGTCATCTACAAACGTGACGACATTCGCAAGAAGTTCCTATCACCGCCGTCCAATTTCTCCCAAACGTATGATCATTTATTACGAAAAAAATCTTCCTAGATGAAATGAGAATAATCCCACGGGAACCGAATAATCTCACGGGAAATCTAAATGCAAATGAGAATATTTCCACGGGAACAGGTCCCACTGCAGTGATAATATTTTTATTATTTAAAAATAAAATAGGAATACAAGTATTATTCTTTAATTATTTTTATATCTTAAGTTTACTGTTTCGTAAATTTATCAATGAAGTAAACATTTTTCACCGATTTAGAGTTTTCCAAATTGCCTTCATTAGCATGCGCTGTAACATAGTCTAAGATGAAGGGTTAGGATTCTTTTAATCAAATTTTTATTCATTTAAGTGTTTTTTTCTCTCACAGCCCGACTGGAAACGATGAGGTTCGAACAGAAATACTGGACACGGTTCGACAGGTAGGAATGCATCTGCCTCAATGTAGAGATGTAAGAGGCAATGCTGCTCATTGACATAACAAAAATTAAAGAATCGCACTTAAAGTTTCTGTCCCAAGGCATACCACCGAGATATGTAATGGATAACTTACTCCTCTTGGAGTAACAGTCCTTAAACATTCCTCTTGACGGGAATGTTTTAACTACAGATTTAGCCTATTCGGTCTTTAATAATTTAATTTACTTTCGTTGCCTCCGAAATTAATTTGTTATCAGTTAAGAGAAGGAAGAAAGGTGGGTGACACCCTCACATTGCAAGCGAATCAATAAACTAAAATTGAAGTGTTATTGACGGGTATACTCGATTGATTTGAGTTTTGAATTACCGTATTAACTATGCAAAGAAGTGAATGGTAGTAATAGAGAGAGCGGGACTATCATCACAGTTTGCATCAGCATCTTAAGGCTGGTAGTCAGAATGCAGCGAAGTCTGAGATCGAGTTTTTCGCGACCATCGTGTGTAATGCTTGATCTGCCCGAAGCTCGGCCAGTCGCTATCTTCGAGCTTGTACTCTTTGTAGAATGATATTCTAGCCAGGCCCTTTTTCGCGAGCAACTGGTCGCTTTCAGGTGGCCGAGGAATGGCCACCCATCCGAATTGGACTAGGAATTGGACTAGGCCGACCCCTAGGCCGACGTCCCCCGAATTGGACTAGGCCGACCACTGGCCCCGTATTATTCCTCGCCCCTCATTGAGTTCGCCTTCACCATGCCGCCCGTCGTGAACTGACAGTTCAGTAATTTACGAAGTCTCTTTCCCTTTCCCTTCATACCTTCAACTTGCCACGCCTGCATCTGAGCAGTTGGTATACGGGATTTTCCCTCCGCGTATCATCAGGCTCTATCATAACTATTTTTTGGTAGATAATATCTACAACAAGGAGGCTGATCAAGGAATGCCGAGTGTACCATTCAATGGAGAATAAAAATTACACCCCGTTTACATATCGAAAAAAGTGTAGAAGTCGCAGACTTGATGAACAATAATATTCAAAGTTTCTTGAAATTTCTTTTCATTAAAACTTTTTTAAGACTAAGTTTAAATATTTTTTGTTCCTGGTCACCGTTTATAAATAAATAGCTGGGTAAGCATGGAAAACCCCATATCGCCAACTCATTTACGAGTGGAGCAAGGACTACTACACACAGGACATGCATAGCCTATGTCCAGCCTCTGCTAGCAGAGGCGATCGCCTACACTATGAAAATGCTGTTGTTTTAGTGGCATCAACAAATGATATGCCCATAATTGTTTCATACAATAGTATTACAATGTGTGTAGTAGTCCTTGGTCAGTTTACCACAATCTTACCTCGAATCGTAGCTATCAAAATTTGGTTGACCACTCTCTCCAATCGAAAAATTACCGAGTGCTCACAATATTTTTAACCACCGTCTTCAGTTTAGAAACTGTTCGTTACCAAAAGCCCGGGACTTGACCTAAAGCCAGTGTCACTTGGAAGATACTTCTCCGGAATTCATAATTGATTTAAAATTTTTAATACTTTCCAGAACCTGGGCGCTCATCTTTATCAATCAACACAAAGCTATTAGGTACTTTATTTATACGTATCGTTACACAGTGATTAAAACTTTGCAGGGGGCATATGGCAAGTAATGTAATCTGTGTAAATATTCTTCGTGTCGATGAAAGGTAACTCGAATAGAATTAATGTTGAAGTCAGTAAAGTTCTCATATAACAATTATAGTAGCATTGACTTTTTCGGCAGTTTGATCTCATAATCACGAGACACCTCAGATTTGGAGAAGGAAGAGCAAAATGGTTCATATGTTCATTTTTATTTTCGTTTTCCCACTTATAGAGCATTTCTTAATGTTTTTTCCTAAAATCCCTTTCAATGTCAGTTCTAATATATTCACTTGAATTATAAGCTGATTTATCTCGGTGGAGAGATGATAATATCATAGCGGATATTATCAACATCAATCTGCAGCTGATTAATATTTTCAGAATTGATCATTGTACCTCTCTTTGGGTATCTGTTATTAAGTCTTTCATTTTTTATGAGATATTTTATCAAAGTTTTTCTCTCTTGAAGGCTGTTTCGAATGACGATAGCGTGTGAATGAAATACCCTCAACTAGGTTTAATTTATTTACATCATAAATCACTCTATATTTTCGAAAATTACCAATGAGTACGTCTCACTTGACTAGATGGAATGACTTTTCTCAACCAAAACGTAAATACGTTAGGTAACGTTAATTGTAAATTTTTTTATCTATCAATTATTTCATATGGTACATACATAAGCTCTCATTTTTTAAACCGACATTATAAGGGGTATTGATTAGTATTTGTAGAAGAGGTTGGAATGGAATCCAACATCGAATTAACATGTGAAAAATATATCTAAGTTAATTCAATCAAACGGTGGTTCAATGCTAGCGTATTAATACCATCTGCTAACACAGTGGGGAAAATAAGTATTTAGTCAGTCACTAATTGTGCAAGTTCTTTCACTTAAAATGATGAGAGAGGCCTGCAATTGACATCATAGGTAGACCTCAACTATGAGAGACAAAATATGAAAAAAAAATTTTGAGAAAATAATTCTGTCGGACTTTTAAAGATGTAATTTGCTAATGATGGTAAAAAATAAGTATTTGGTCACTTACAAACAATCAAGATTTCTGGCTGTTACAGACCTGCAACTTATCTTTCTAAGAGACTTCACTTTCCCCCATTCATTACCTCTATTAATGGAACCTCTTTGAAGTCGTTAACTGTATAAAAGACACCTGCCCACAACCTCAAACAGTCACACTCGAAGCTCCATTATGGTGAAGACGAAAGAGCTGTTGGAGGACACCAGAAACCGAATTATAGACCTGCACCAGGGTTAGAATCTGCAAGGGGCAAGCAGCAGCTTGGTGTGGAGAAATCTACTGTGGGAGCAATAATCAGAAAATGGAAGACCTACAAGACCACTGCTAATCTCCCTCGATCTGGGTCTCCCCGCGAGATCTCAGCCCGTGGAATCAAAATGATCACAAGAACGGTGAGGAAAAATCCCAGAACCACGAGGGGATCTAGTGAATGACCTGCAGAAAGCTGGGACCAACGTTACAAAGGCTACCGTCAGCAACACACTACGACGCCGGGGACTAAGATCTTGCAGTGCCAGACGTGCAGACGTGTCCCCCAGCTTAAGCTAGTCCATATCCAGGCACGTTTGAAGTTTGCTAGAGAACAGTTGGATGTTCCAGAAGAAGAGTATTGGGAGAATGTCATATGGTCATATGGAACCATAGCAGGACTGTTTGGTAAAAACACAACTCGTCGTGTTTGAGGGAAGTGGGTGCGGAGTTTCATCCATAGAACATCACACCAATTGTGAAGCATGGGGGTGGCAACATCATGCTTTTGGGTTCTTTTTCTGCAAAGGGACCAGGACGGCTGGTCCGTGTACATGAAAGATTAAATGGGGCCATGTATCGTGAGATTTTGGGTGCAAACCTCCTTCCATCAGCAAGGACAATGGAGATGAAACGTGGCTGGGTCTTTCAGCATGACAATGATTCCAAGCATACTGCCAGGTCAAGAAAAGAGTGGCTTCGTTAGAAACATTTCTAAGTCCTGGAGTGACCTAGCCAGTCTCCCGGTCTCAACCCCCATTGAAAACCTTTGGAGGGAGTTGAAAGTTCGTATTGCTCGAAGACAGCCCCAAAACATCCCTGCTCAAGAGGAGACCTGCATGGAGGAATGGGCCAACAGGCCAGCAACAGTGTGTACCAATCTTGCAAAGACCTACAGAAAACGTTTGACCTCTGTCATTGCCAACAAAGGATATACGATAAAGTTATGAGATGCACTTTTGTTATTGACCAAATATTTTTTTTACACCATTATTTGCAAATAACATCTTTAAAAGTCAGACAAAATTATTTTCTCAGATTTTTTTCACATTTTGTCTCATAGTTGAGGTCTACCTATGATGTCAATTGCAGGCCTCTCTCGTCATTTTAAGTGGGAGAACTTGCACAATTAGTGACTGACTAAATACTTATTTTCCCCACTGTATATGTCTTTTAGTATGGTCGCCATTCAGTGTAATCTTATTTATCTCCTCTGTATATAATTCATGGTTATCACTTTGGATGTTATACATTGTTTTATATATAGTCTCATTATTCAATGTTCTCTTACATTCATCCATGGTAGTATTCCCGGTATATTTCTCTTTATACCTTTAGTTCTCTTAGCTGCAGAACATTTTGTTCGATAACAATACAGCTTTGCTCGTAGACCTACAAATTCTTCTATAGGCAGTCCGCCAAATTTATCTTTCATTCTACCGATTACTTTTTTCTTATGATATGAGTATAGGAAATGATTTATAGGATAATTAGAGTGGTCAAATAAGTTTGATTTTTCTTATATCTTTAGACATGATGACTTCCATTCTCATTTGTTATTAACAATAATTTCAGAGTCCAAGACCGTTTTTTCTGAACAAACACTAAACAATTTGATGAGAAAATTAGCCGTTTGCAGTCAGATTTCGATGATAAATTCATGAATTTGGAATTACATATGGAAGAAAAACTAATGAAACAATTTGACGAGAAAATGAATAGTGTGCAGTTAGCGCTCGATGATAAAATCGAGAATTCGGAATTACATATTGAAGAAAATTTGAAAGTAATTATTAAAGCTGACAAGGAGATACATAGAGTATAGTTGGCGTTTGAAGATTTGATAAATGAAATACTTAAAACTTCAGAATTGCGGATTCATAAACTAGTGTTACAAATTGATGGAAAGTATCTTTCCCAAAAGTTGATCAGAAATGCAAAAGCTTAGAATCAAACTTAGTTTAATTAATGATGCGAAATTCAATAACATAGCAGAACAAATCGTGGACTTACGAGCGGAGTCATTTCGATGACAGAAATTGGGTATATTATTAATGAAATGAAGGATATTAAAAATACTTCATGAGTTTTCTAGAGATATTACATTAAATCAGAAAGGAATTTATCATCCTAAATTGATGCTACAAAATGAAACTGATAAAAACATAAAACTGAACAGAATATTAACACGTCGTATAAATAATCTCGTAGCTTATCGAGTGCGGGAGGGTCTGCAGGCTTTTGAAATTTTTCTTTATTAAAATGACTAGTGTTGATATATTTGGAACCAGAATCACTGGCACACCCATATCACAGCTAAGAGGACCTCCAGGCATTGGCTTTCGATTCCTCGACGCTGAAAAAATTTTTATCCAAATAATTGGAGAATTGAAAATATCTTGTGTCCAATTTATGATAATGGTGCCGCAATCAAGATTTATGTCAACGAGGGAATCGTAGAAGTATCAGATGTTCATGTAAATGATTCAGAAATGACCAATAACAAAATAGATGTTGTTAGAGAGGGTGCCATGATGCATATCAACTTCCTCGAGAAAGAATTGCCTGCAGTAAAATCAATAGTAGAAACTATTGATGAAATAGTAACTCATGAAATAACAGAATTAGAAAATCTTAACAAAAAAGTAAGTCAACAAATAATTGAAGTAAAAACAGAATTGGGAATTCTCACCATAAGAGTAACTCAGGAAATGACTGAAGTAAGATCAAAATTACTACAACAAATGAATAATTTGAAATCCATCGACGAAAAAGTATCATCATTAGACGGAATTCAGGCTGAATTAAAGTCATACATATATGGTGTTGAAAGAAATATAGCCTCAAATAAGAACGAACTTGCAGAAATATCAAGCGTTCAAGAACAATTGTTTGAATGACTTTTAGAAAAAATGAAAATTCAATGAGGAGTGAACCTAAACAGGGAACCAAACTCCTTTTCAAACTCTTAACAGTGAGAATGGGTAATAAAACACGGAATTTGTATCCTTATGTTCCGATCCAGTACAAGTAGTTTGGGTAGGATATGCTGATCCTAATTTGATCAGTTGGAAGTTTTGTTTCGCTTCGTCTACATATGTATTCGTTGTAATTTATGCAAATGAGTTGGAAAACATGTAGTGTTTAAAAGTTTTCGGTATGGCTATTCCATCATTGACGATGCCATTTCGTACAGCTTAATAACATTGATGATCTCTTTGAATTGTAGTTAATACGCTAACCACCTCCATCACTTCACGGTGAGCATCCAAGACTTAACAGCTTAAATTGCCTTTTTAAGTCGTGCACACTTACGATATATCCGACGAGGAAAGAGCAGCATGGAATTTGGTGTAGCCATACTCATAGCAACTGCTTACGATATAAAAATCGATGGTAAGTTACGCAGCTTGTTTAACTCGAACTATCAGGTAAAACGTAATTTTACGCTTATTGGCAAAGGGCTCACTGGTCGCAAGCTGCGCTCGCGTGCGCAAGGTAATGACCTATTTACACTCATTGGCAATGGGCTCACAGTGCGCAAGCTTCGCTCGCCGTGAGCAAGCACTCCAGGGTCACAGGTTTGGATTTAGGTGGGTATGGGTAAGAATGGGTATGAATATGAGTATGTTAATAGCTGATCTTGATGAATATAGTGAGAACTGAAAATACCGTTTTTTCCTTGATCCTAGTTACATAGATCCTGATAAGAAAAATTTGTTCCTTTTTGATGATATCGCTACGGAAAAGCATCAGAATCCTGCTGATAGCGTTTACACCCGTGGAAGACATAAAAACTGTAGTTAAATTTACTTATCCCAAAACTATCACATATTACTAAGAAAAAACATTAGAACGATTTCAAATTTATTATAATTCTATTCGAGTTACCTTTCATCGATATGAAGCATTTTCTCAGTGCTTGTGATATGTCCTTTGTAGAGTTTCAAGAACTGTGTAGAGATACGTATAAAGTACCTTAAAGTTGTGTTGATTAATAAAGATGAGCACCCAGGTTCTGGAAAGTATTTCAAATATTTAAATCAATTATATATTTCAAAGACGTATCTTTTTACAGTGACACTCGCTCTAGGTAGTAACGGGTTTTTAGTAACGAACAGCTTCCAAACTTTAGTAAAGCCAGTGGTTTAAAAAATATTGTGAGCACTTGGTAAGGTTTTGATTAGACAGTGGTCGACCAAATTTTGATGGCTACGACTCGAGGTGTGATTGTGGGTAAATTATCGGCAACCTGTGATTCAAGATGTATATGCAAACTGTGATGATAGGCCCTCTTTCTATACTACGAATGGTAATTAATGCGTCACCAAGGGCAAGAACAAAAGATTTTTGTTTCTATATCAGCCGTTTTATACGACCATAGATCATAATGCTCTAATGGGAGCTCTTCAGAGAAGTTTTTCTTTCACCATCATTTGATATCGAGATTGTGATAGCATCACGAAAATTTGTCAAACTAAAATAGGATTAATAAATTATACTTCACAAATCGATTTTGTGCTATTTATTTTGCAATTTCCAAGATATTAGCTTCAAGAATACTAATAATACTGCACTTACAATAGTTTGCTATCACGATCAAACTATTACTGAGCAGTTCGAAGACGATCCTCAGAAGCTAAAGGCGGCCTTCGAGGATCTGAAAGCCAGAAGCAGAGTCGCTTCAAAGAACGAGGCTTCCAGCCGCAAGAATTTAATGAAAAATCGTTATCTAAACATCGTTCCTTGTGAGTAGTGCAAGTATCCCTTTATTTGAGTCACAAAAATAAAAAAAATTGTCGGCGAAAAATTTAAAATTCTTTGAAAAAATTTCACGAGCTCCAATGCAGCTACCTGACCGAATGTTATCGGTCAACTTGAGACAAATTTGAAGCTCTTAATTATTGAGATTGAAATGAAACTGAAACCTAAAAATTTTTTTGTACTTTAAATAAATGAAGAAAACAGGCGGTAAGTAAGCCCTTACTTGCATTCAAGTAAGTTTTCTCATTCGTGGTATCAATTGGCTTGTTGATGATCTAAATTGCATTAAGTATGCAGTCGAGTGAATTCATTCTGCTGCTGTGCAGTCGACGACACGCGAGTTAAACTAAATGATGAATGGAGTACCGACTACATCAACGCCAGCTACGTTAAGGTGAGGATAGGAGGCAAACAGAATATAAATCAGTAATGGAATGTTTGGAACTTCAATTTGCGACCCAAGTAGGCAACTTCTCTTTGCTAGTTTTGCTCTATGCGACCTATTTTCGAAATCCAACATATGACCTAAGTTAGCGTTAGAATCGTACGATTGAATATATAGCAACATAAACTTATGTACCGAAAATATCTAATAAATTTGACACTTAAATTATATATTGAGCTTTGTTGTAGTTTATTAATTTTGATAGTATATACAATTTCGGTGGCACCAGGACGCAGACGGCAACGTGCGTTTCATCGCGAGTCAAGGACCGAAGGCTGGGACAGTGTCAGATTTCTGGCAAATGGTCTGGCAGGAACAAGTGCAAATTATAGTCATGTTGACGAACTGTTTAGAGCGTGAGAAGGTAATTATATGGCCATGAACGCGAATGGAAGTTTTGTTGTTCATGCATATACTATTTACTTTGGTTTTCACTACATGAGACACGAGTGGCTCCCTAGCTCAGGCTAGCTGGAACTGAATAAACGACTGCTTTTTTCCTTCATACCTCAAATCTTGCAACGTTGTATGAAACCATGTTCCTGATTTCATGACTGTTGATTGTTGAATCAAATGGAGGTGCTAATAATTATTAATTCCCCTGATAACATTCTCAAAAACAAAACAGAGTATTTAATTTTCCATTTATTATTGGTAAAATACTGCATGCGCTTCAAGTATCAGGCACAAATGATTAGGTTTATTGCAGGAAAAATGTTGCATGTACTGGCCTGAGACGAAGAAATCAACGTTCCTGGCTGACCAATATGTCATGACTCTCATGGATGAAGAGAAAGGACCTGACTGGACTGAGCGCAGGATCCTCCTGCAAAATGACGTGAGTTCCTGAGATATCATGCATCTTTGATCATTTCTTTGTCCGTGCAAAATTGTATCCTCATTTATAAATGGAATTTTTCACCACAATAGAAATGTTGCTTTCAGTTCAATGTGCATCCCAGAAGTTATGGTTAAACGTAAACAAACACTGAGGATATTTTTTCATTTATTTAACAATCATATTTTCGATACCGAATTTGGATCCTTAACCATGTTTACCCAACGCTCATTGGTTATACCCAAGATTTCCATTTAAGGTGGAATGCAGGAAGGGTAACATACCGATACACATATCAAATTGTATCGAAATACCTGTTATTTGGCTTTTCTCAGAGATGTCAGGTTATATTTTGGAAATTAGCAAAATATACCTGCCTGTACCAATCTAGAATGTATGAACAACCATTCATAGAAGTACACACTGATCTAAAACTTAAGCTGACAAAAATTATCATCAGGACCATCTCATACCAAATAAATTAAGTTTGTAACAATAAATTGACATTATTGTTATTGAATCTTTTATTACTTGAAAATTTATCAAGAGACTTTAAAGGTATTCTTGTCACCAATAGACAAATATACAAGGAAATCCAGAAGGTATAGTATACCTCGACTACTGTTTATGGAGTCACTACTTCGTTGTATATACAGTATACGCACCAAGTTAGCTGCTAGCCTGTTTTGAAACAAATTTTCTGAATTTTACCAAGATTTAAAAACCCCAATTTCAAAGATTTTCAACGGCGTAATTTACTTGATTGCCTACTAAAACCGTTCTTAATTTTAGTAGGAAAGTTGCATTTATAGAAATAAGCAATGGCGGGCGAAGCCAGTAAATGAAGCTCCATCTTTAAGATTGCATCAGCACATAAAAGCTATCACAGAAATAGCATCAGTTGATCAATTATTTCTTCAGGGGATATAAAGAAGTATATAAGAAGAACATAACTTTGGCATTAATGTTCTCAAAGGACTGGCTTCAAAAGAATAATTCTTAAAACTCTAGCGCATGATCTAATTTCTAAACTGAAGCTTAAACATATGTATTCTATAGACAAGCGGAATTTTAACATGTCATGTCGATTTTATTACATAATTTTTCGTAAAATTTGAATCGATGCGCCACCTGGATCTAAAGCAATATTGTAAAGATTTAGTTTCAGGTGGTGAAATCATGGAAGTTTAACTTTTGTTCATCACAGCCCAGCCCCGCCAGAGAGGTCGTGCAGCTGCACTTCACGTCGTGGCCCGACTTCAACGTGCCGGCGTCCGAGGCCGCTTTGCTGAAGCTCATCCGCAGCGTCAGGGCGCGTGTCGGGGAGTCGGAGTCTCTTGTCCCCATCCTTGTACACTGCAGGTGATGATGTTGCAGAAATGAGATTAAAAAAACAAATTTCATGAAGAAGTGTTACATGTTTTTTTGATTGGAAAAGGATGCTTTCTTTAATACGTTACCGTTTTGAAGTTGATATGCTATTTTAATTACAACTTTTCTGCAACGACAGTGCGGGGGCCGGCAGGACGGGCACCTTCATCGCGCTGTGGAACCTCCAGCAGCAGCACCAGCGGGGCGCCCCCATCGACATCGACGCGACCATCCTCAAGATCAGGGAAGACAGGAGCTTGCTCGTACAGTCTAAGGTGAGGTCAAGTCTGAGGTGAGGTCAAGTCTGAGGTGAGGTCAAGTCTGAGGTGAGGTCAAGTCTGAGGTGAGGTCAAGTCTGAGGTGAGGTCAAGCCTGAGGTGAAGTCAAGTCTGAGGTGAGATCAAGTTAGGAGCGAGGTCAAGCCTGAGGTGATGTCAAGTCCGAGGTGAGGTCAAGTCCAGACTAGGGTAAAATGCTTCAAAATAGAGTAGAGTAACTGGAATAATTGTATGCTGTGGATAACAGTGTGACTTTATAAATACAATTAAATTAAATTTAAAATATCAGTCGCCTACAGCAGCCTGCGTGTTCTGGATTTAGATGTCCTTGTTTTCTGTGTATTCGTAGGAGATTGATAACGTTTCATTTTAGTGCTCATTTTAGTGCATCAAAATATTAGGCAAAAATATGATAACTCATACATTATACCTTCTATGATCTTCAGGAGCAGTACCTGTTCGTCTTTAAGTGTTTCGCGGAGTATCTGCGGACACCAGACATATTCATCGGTGGAGGTGAGCTTAATAATTTTTTGCTCGGTTAAAATCAGGATTTGAATATTTTTCATTCATAACTATATATACGTTACATAACAATTTTTAGACTAGCTTTTGATCTTGAATGACGGACAAAGAAAGGTATAATATTCTTTATTTTAAAAGAAGTGTTATGCGACCATCGCGTAGTTCCACACATCTAAAATGTGCATACTTCTCTAAAAGAGTAGTGTATTTGATCACCAAGATTGTAGCTGTAAGTTGCCAGTTTGAAAATCAGGCAGCTGTAGAAATTCTACTAGAAATTGACAAATGGGATGGTTGGTTACCATAAGTATGACGATTAAAGCCGTGTGTGTTTCAGGGTCTAGACCCATCAATCCGAGGATATTCTTCGATTTATAAATCGTTGACAGTCCAAACATGAACTATAGTTCAACGCCTACTACACTGCCTTGGTATTATGCAGGGTGTCCCACAAATATTTCCCTGACGTTTTAATTGATTATTTTATCGATTAATAGATTAGTATGGAGTGCTTACCAATCAATTACCAAAGACTATAACAGTTCTAGACAAAAAAAAATTATAATGTAAAAATGGTAAGTAAATTATGTTAAATTCAATAGGAGATATAATAAATTAAAAAGTCGGGGAGGGAATTTTTGAGAGGCATCCTGCTTTATACTATGATACTGTATGTAACAGTCAAAAGAGATGGCCATTAAAGCCTTACGAATCTTGAGAGAAAGAATGACTTACGCGCTCAAGATTCGGCAATGTTCCACAGAGTAGATTTATCAAATGGTCAACCAGGTAAGTACGTATATAATGTAACTGGTGATTGCCATCATTTCTATTTTTAATAATATATATTTTGCTATCATTATCGTTCATTTGTAAGAACTATTTTCAAACCCATCCAATAATTTATGTCGGAACGATATTAATGTATCAGTATTTTTTCCCGAATTTACAGCCTTAAAGCATAATTTTAAAATGTTTGACCAAAAATAGATATATATATTTTTCTCAGTAAAAATAGTATTCATGATTCCTGTTTTTGATTGTATTGATTGATCTCAATATAGTGAGCCGAAAATAGTGAATGCCGTAGAAAATATTAATGTCCTCAGGAAGTGGCAGCATGGCGAACGCCCGTGATCTGGAGATGGGAGTTCTCGGCGCCCGTAAAACCGGCTTGGATGAGGATGAAAAATCAACTGATGCTCTGTTACCAGTGAAGGATGAGTATAATGGACGTAGTAACTATTTTGCTGCAAGTTGTATTGTCGACTTGCTGCAAGGTTAATCTTTGAATGGCTACATCCACTATGCACCGATGAATTGCAAGTAAAGATGCTAGGCAATTATGGGCTATTAAAATGAATCAATTTATTTTCAAGATTATCAATCAAAAACACATTTTAATTTCATAATGAGAAGTCCAACTTTTGAGCAGCCTGTAGGGCACGTTCAAAATTTTTACAAAAAAACGGAATGAATTAGTGAAAGAATTCTTGGAGTTCAGTCACTTGAAGTTTGCTTCGCAATGTATGACATGTTATTAGTTACATGATTAGCTATTACATTTAGGATTAAATTCTCATTGCATGATGATTTACCAAGCAATGAATAATATATTTTGAATGCCATGTCGACTTATCAAATGCATTCCCTCCTCAAGCATCGAAAGTACCGATTCCTCGTTTTTTTCTTTGTAGTAATTATGATTAATCTTCAAATAGCTGGCTAGCTTGAAAATTTTAAAGCCTCATCATCTACTTGTTGAGAACTGATCTACAGCTAATTATGATTTTTAAATTTATGGTTAAATGGTCTCTGGGTATATTTAAATTTATAGGTTGAATGGTCTGGTCTCTCAGTTGTTAGGTAGTGGACGACCGCGCGCAAATAATACTTTTATGCGAATGATTAATATTTTGGTAATTGTTCGTTTAATTTCTCCAAAATTTGCGATTACTATTATTCTTTTCAGTCTATTTGCAATTAAAATTTATGATTATTTCTGTATTTTTTTATAGATTCTGACCGATTAGCGGATGCTTTAGGGAAATTAGTAGACTTTTTTCCCTGATAAGAAGCAAATAATAACTTTTAAAAGCATACTATTATCGCAACCCTCATGTGCTTTTTTAAAATGAATACATTACGAACGAATGCCAAATTTTTTATGATAATAATAGAAATGAATTGACCTTGGGTCATTTGACAAATACTATGAATATATTATCATCAATCGATAATCTTCCGTTTTCAACGTCCAGTCCGACGTTTGATATGGGAGGCCCACTTCCGGGTACAGTTTATGGTATACATGAGATATTTTAGAATTGAATTAGGGGTTCATTATATAACAGGCTAATAGTTTTGATTTTTAAAACATGGAATTTCCCATGGCATAGGTGAAAGACGATCGAGAAAAATTTTGTCTCGACCACTGAAGTGTTAATTTAGTGAACAAATAAATTGTACAACACCTGCAGGCATGTTTGGACCCTTTTACTGCAACACTTGACATTTAGAAATTACAAGTTTTTTTGCCAACGAGTTATTTATACCAACTTTACTATTGTATCAATCAACTTAGGAGATTTGTTCGGAGAATTATTAACAGTTCAGGGTACCATGCAGGATTGAAGTAGCGATGTACGGGTTCGATCCCAGCTACCTGCAACAGTTCTGTTCGCATCAGCAAGGAGACCGGTTGTGTCAGTACCTTAAAACATGAAGAAGCTGTGAGTTGTGTTTTCGAGACCGCAACAAGCTGGGAATATTCTGCGATGTTCAGAATCGGGGATAGATCGAACGGCCTAATTAACAACAATACATACTTTCTATACTATATATAAATCAATCGAAATTCCATAGTGTAACAATGAAACTTGCTCGATAATTCATGTGCATCACAAGACATTAATTTAGGTATCTATTTAAGGTGTTCAGCGTCTCTGTTAAAAGACACGTTCTTCTCCTTACCTTCACTTAATATTTTATGTCAGGAGGCATTTCAGCCAGTCAATTGTTCATGAGTGAGTGCAAGGACTTTTCTCTTACTCAAGCAAAATAAATTTTAATAGTAAATGACATTGGATAATTCATGTTAGTTTTTTTACACAGAAGCATAACATTTTTTGCAACAGACGATACAACTTTTTTGGAAGTGATAAAATAGCGTCTCAGCCTCAAAACTGATACCAATAGAAAAAATTTCAGCAGTCAACTGTTGAAATTTATTATCTAATTACGTCATTATTGTTTATACGCTCGTGTTCAATCTTGCTTTTTTACACTTTTATTTGAGTTTGCTCGTTTAAGATCTTATTAATAATTCTACTGGTTTCACGCCAGTGGTTGAAACGTAGGGTTATTGGCTGCTTGGAGCTTCGGAGTTTAAATGATTTTTGTCACTTGCCGTAGTGCTGTGAATTAACTTGCATGCACTTAAGAATAGAATGAAATTGTCGGTGCTGAAGAAATAGGCCCATGGCCTGTTGCCGATTCTAACTATTTATGTACGAGCGAACACTACTTATTTATAATATTTTCATTAATTTCTTTTTTATAGTTCTCTACATGAAAACTCTGGTCTATAGGATTCCTCAATGGAAACAAATAAGTTAGTTATTTTGATTATTGTACAAGTGTTATTACTGTACTGATTTTATTTGGGAATCATACTGAAATCATTTGCGTCATAACTTGAATCCGTTATTTTTAGGCTTAAACTGTTTATCTGCCTCATTCAAATAAGAATCCAACCAACCGCCACTACTTGCAATTGGTCTTCAACCCTGCCGCTTCTGTTTATTTGAGCTGATCTGCTCCTTAATTATTACGTTCTGTTGCCACCGGCAATATATGGTGAGAATTGGAGAGAGAGAGAGAGAGAGAGAGAGAGAGAGAGAGAGAGAGAGACGTTCACCCGAAAGTGACTCATTTAATTGAATTTATAAATTGTGTTTTCGACTTCTAATGTTCGAACCAAAACTAATATCTGCATATTCTAATACAGTGAGTTCCACAACGCGCTTCTCGTTTCCGCCTGGTTTCGTTCTGTGAACTACTTCATTTTACGGAACCACTTCAATAAAAGTTTCAACGGTTTCATTGTTCTTTAATTTCCATTAGTACCAAAATCCAAAAAACTTGACTATTGAAAAAAATTTCAACAGTCAACTACGAACATATATTACTCCCCACACACGTATAATTAGCATTAAAATACTCTCAAGACCTTCTCATTAAAGAGTCTTCAACAGAGATTTCCAGGGTTTGTTTTCGTTGTATGACTGATTAGTATAGGAATGTTAAGGAAGTTAACAGGAATGAAGTGTTTCTTTTTCCAGCACTTTTTATGATATCTCACCACTGACTTAACATTGCACACTGAAGAACCGAAAACAAAAACCAAAAAAGATACTTTGAAGAGCACAAGCCTTTTCTGTGTGGCAATGACCACTGATAAACTTCGCTAAAAGTTGCACATGAGATAAGTCTCGCAGTCATGCTCCATGATGGTCTTTGGTAACAATGTCACCTGAAGACGGCAGCCCAGTTGAGAACTAAATTTCAAGATTAGAAAAACTATTACAGTATCCTTCAAAATGATCAAAATTCCTAAGAACAGTTGCACAATTATTTTATGAAAGTAGCAATTATTTTATGCCACCAACCCAACGGTAAATCGTTGCGGATTTTTTTCAAAAGATAGTGATTGAAATTCATCGAAGTCGGGAAATTTGTCAGACTAATTTGCCAGGGCACATTTCTCGTCAATGAGTTAAATGGAGCGTTTTGCATTTTGCAAAATGCATTTTTTTCAGATGCATTTTTCTTCCACAAAATCACAGCCTGAACTATCGAACTCGAACTAGCCGAAATTTCGACACTTCACTTCCATTACACTAGCGACTCCAATGAGTCGCATTGTGCGAGTAGAATAATTTCTACTAGGTTGTATAGCGTATAAATAGGTCGTAGATAGCGAGAGAGTCAGGAGGCATTGATTGAAAGCGGTTTCCTGATCAGACTAGACCAAGTTGGACTTGAATGCACTGAGTAACATACAAATGAAACAAATAGAAACAACTTTTTTTACAATCAGGCAGCCTAGGTCATATCTAGAGTCCCTTTTTCTGATGAACAAGATTACGAAGATTATGAGCTTTGATGCTGTTACAGGTAATAGAGAATGAAATACCAATTATAGCAGTACATATATTACTCAAGATGCTACCATTTTTATTTGGTAATTACCGTAATTCTTCGTTCAACAAAAAACAGAGGAAAAAATGAGCGATTGAAATATCCATTAAAATGAATTGGCCGGCACTGAATGTCGTGATTTTTTGTTTGTAAGAAGCAATAAGACGGACACAAACAATTGACGTGGATCTTCAATACGATTGCTGGAACTGAGGCAGAGGAGCGAAATGGTGAAGTTCTCACTGCTGCAGGAGTGCCTATGCTGCCTCCTAGCGTCCTTCACTCTTCAGGTACGCGCTATGATAGACTGATTGTCACTTATTATGAGCTCCTGTCAAATAGCAATATTTTGTTTCATCGCTATATAGAGATTTTGAGATTAACAACTACATGTACCCAAGTGACAAATTAGATAATTTGTCATTCAATTCTTATATCGTAATTTATTCAGAATTCATATCCTTTACAGCATTACTCAAGTTTCATATGTTTTATGGCACATTGTGATTATTCAAGTCCAACTTTAACCAATTAGAATGGATTTGGGCAATCAAAAAAAATCATATATGTAAATGGGCGCCAAAAAATGTACCGAATTGGGTGTTACAATTAGTGGGTTCTGAAGACATTTGTTAACTAATCCACTAATAACCCATTTGGTGGCACGTAATGACTTCAGAATTGGTAAAAGTTTTTTTGCGCAGCTTATTTGGAACACAACATAGCGTCCAGATCAATGCCTTGTAATAATTGTAATGCTTTGATCAATTCACTTCCAAAAAAATAAAAATGCCATGACATTTCTATAATTTTGTACATGAATCGTTTTATTTTAAAATTTACTATATTTTCCTTATGCACAAAATGTTTTTATACATTTTTTAACTTTTCCTTCCGCAGATTCAGGTCTTGCAGGCTCAAGGTGAGTTTCGCATTTCAACTAGGTACGTCTCAAACACATTGCAAGGAATAAAATTTCAATATCTTCAAGTGTTAAATGTTCACATGAAGTTTTTCAAAACTACTAAAATACAATAATAGTCAACATGACTAAAAGTCATGTTGACTATTAAAGTCATGTTGACTATTTTTACATGAATGATTTCACTGAAAAATAAAATAGGGCGGCGTTGTGGCGTTTAACGGGCAATATTTATTGCGCAAGATAAGATACGTACAAGATAGTATCGAATCACACTACATTTGAACAGCGATTACGATATCAAGGAAAAATTGAGGAACCCATGTAAAAGTTTGATAATACTCTTTTTATTTGTGTATGATAATCCATTATACAGTATGACATCGATTCTGCGGCTATGGCTATTTATATCCCAGGTATTGTTGAATTTTCTAACCTAGCTGGAGCTGCAGGAAGGCAGCCATTCCCGTCAAAGGTCGTTTTTCATTTAAAGGCACGTGACTCTCCGGCGATTTCATTGCAATTGTCCCTCCATCTGACCTTTTATAATGGAAACGGTCATTAGTAGGTTATTGGACTATCCAGGTTGCGTCAAGACACTCAATTTGACTAATTAATTGTTCAACAAACTTTTTGACATTAACCTGCATACCATTAAATAACATGATACAGGGACAATCGAATAATATAAGTCACTTGAATTTAAAATTCGGCAGGCATTCCACAATCCGCTCATGCTCTGGATGGTAGAATGAATTTTAATAGTAAAATAATTTCACTCTAGATGTGGTGAGCCAGTTGAAGCTTTTCCCAAATGTGACGATGATCGACGCGACGTGGGAGCTGCAGGAGCCAACTGGTGAAGTTATTAGGTACCTGGTATCGTGGATACCTGATGAAAACAACTTCGCTACTGCATATTGTTACGTTGACTCGCCTGCTACCAGCACCTCGGCCTGTGATGCATACCCGACCTTAGACAGCTGCACTCTCTACACCTTCACGGTGCAGCCCAGGGCATTACCTGGAGGCACTGAGGAAGACACTGGCACCCCTGCGTCCGCAGCAGACTACACCCTGCATAATGGTGAGCGGGCGAGCATAGTGTTTTTTCGATTCGAAGCGGCAGAGCGAAAAATTCTGTTGAAATTTTGTTGCATTTATAGCATGAATATTAAAATGAAAAATCTTTTATGAAATCATTATCGGACATAGAAAAGCCGTCATCTTGCCTTGCCAGATATGGACAGAAAGGTGCGTGTCATCTATGTATATTTAATAATAAAATTCGATTCTGCAATAAACATTGACAATGCTTATAAAAATAGTTACTAAAAAGGTTGTTCCTTAACTCCAAAATTAATATGCAAATTTGTAGGAGTGCAGCGGGAAATTCTCATGAAATGATGTTCCTTCCTACGCAACTAGTCAAGCTCACTGTTATTGCGTTGAAAATTCAATTGGTAGTTGATACGACTAAAGCGCCTCTCCTTCAGGTCCTGTGACTGTCACAAACGTCGCCTGTGATGCCCTCGGCCAGAGTATTCCCGTTTCGTGGGTTGGCCCGGGGGCCTGCGTGGAGTACTCCGTGTCCTACACGGGGGTTGCCATGTGGGGGGACCAGCAGACGACACACGGCAACATCACGACGAGGGAAACTTCGCTAAACTTCACGGGCCTCGTGCCTTACGCGAATTACTCCATCAACTTGAGCACGCAGGACGATCCTGATCTTGCAAACTGCATGACTCAAACTGACGAAGCCAGTGAGTTTTTGTGTATGTAAGTCATAAAAAAAGTGGACATTCCTACTGTTAAAAGAAATTTACCAAAAAATCAATACTTTGCGTTATCAATGCTATTCTTATCAATTCGAATTTCAGAGCCTTCATCACCACTGGACTTGACTTTTGAAGCCGTGACGACAACATCCTTCACAGCGACGTGGCTGAAACCCACGCAAGAGAACGGTCTGCTTGGGGACTACCAAGTGAGGTGGTGGAGCAAGGAGGGCAATGCAGCAGTTCAGAATGTCACTGAAACTCGGTTAGAAATTACGAACCTGAACCCTTGTGATGCGTACACCGTAGCTGTGGCGGCCACAACTGGCGCTGGACCTGGAGAGGAAATTCAGCTCAAGCAGGAAACTGACGTGTCAGGTGAGCAGAGCAGCCGTATGCCTATAATTTCATTCAAATCTGGGGAGAAAGTTGTCAGATTTGTGAAGGTAAGAATTCCGACAAATGAATTTACATATTAAATTTCAAAATTTAGTATTGATAGAACTGTGGTTCAATATTGCATTATGTAACAATGGTATTGTCTCCTAGACGTATATTCTCTTCTTTTTGTTAGAAATTTACGTCAGATAATATGCAGGCCATCTGGAAAAAATATGAATGAGGTTCCTCCTCGCGTTTCTTTTCCTATACCTAGTGCCGCCAGCGGGGTCACCTCCTGAAGTATCGTCCGTGGCAAGTCGTAGCGTCAACCTGACGTGGACCAAACCTGCCACTAAATGCGAGGTCGTCAACTACACCGTTGTGTACGGCGGTCAGGTCATGTGGGGAAACCACGCAACCTTGGAGGTTAATTCTGCATATTCCGAGACTACGACGATAAATATCGCTGGTTTGACGCCGTACAGCAACTACTCCTTCTCTGTTGTGGCGGCGACTGCAGCTGGGAAGGGGGAGTCTTCACTGCCAACTATCACCGCAACGCAGGAAGATGGTGAGGGGGAACATTGTGAGGCAAGATGATGGCGAGTAAGTCAGGCAACTTGTGTTTGAGTTAGATGAACACAACTATTCGCAAGTACATTTTTTATTACGAACGAGTTGCTTTCCGAAAAAAAATTATTTCATTATTGCGCTGACTTATTTATCTATTAACACTTCTTTTTTGGAGAGTATTGACGTACATGACTAGATCAAAATATTTGAGCAAATTCAAATTTGGGTGAAATTAGGTCGTACTTGCATTACCGAATCTTGGCTTCCTGAGAGAGGTCACGATCAAATTTTTAATGCGAAGATCGAAGCAGCCTCAACACTTCACTTCTTGAGAATGTTGTCATATTTCCTGCTCGGGTGCAAGTTGTTCACCCGTGATAAATTTTTCTGTCCAGTCATGGAGGGGCCTCCTTGGTCAGGGCTTGATCGGTTACTATGTATTCGCGTAGGATTATGAATCGCAGTTCCATGAGATTGTAAATTTGTTCGTCTCAATATTTTGTAATTTGACGAAAATGGAATTGAAACGCTTGGACCGATGCGAATAGAATAGAATAGAAGTGGTGGCACTGAAGAAATAGGCCCATGGCCTGTTGCCAATTCTTGTACTTTTCATGACTTGATTCCTCAAGGTATCCGGCCTTTTGAACCCGACCTTTCCATAACTGACGATTGTTTGAGATAGCTGCTGGACATACTGCAAGGCCCGTACACTGAAACAAATCGGTGCGTTAGTTGCAGACATCTCCACTAGCTAAAAAGCTCAATGTAGCTAAACGATTCATTCCGAAACTTCGTTCGCTGTTTTCTCATCAGTCCCTTCGCCGTTTTCTCTAATTTTCGCTCAGCCACAGCCAGCCACTGCTGCTAGGCTGATGACATCATAGCAGGACCAATAAGGAAAGCCAAAAATTTACATGCAAGTTCGAATTTAATAGTTAACAAAAATTGATAATAGCTTAAATCAACTAAATAATAGTGATAATATAACTAGTTGAATATATCATGCAATAGTGATTAAACAGACGTACGACATTCACATGCTTTACAGTTTTCATCGTTGGTGTTTTGTTGCCTCGAATACAGAGGCGGTTTTGAAGTCATATTGGTTATGAAACATACCGCAGTTCGATTACAGTCTGTGTTACTGGTGAGCCAGGTAAAAGATCTTCGACAGTTAATTCAAACTTATTCATTATTTCTAATAATGTATATAAAAAGTGTGACAAAAGATTAACCTGGAGCTTTTATCATAGACATGATTTTAGCAAAATAAGTTACATGACAATTCTATTTTTACCTATCCCAAATAAAGTCAAGTATTAATTATTGGCGGTGCGAGGAATGCTTAAACACCAACACATCGTACAACGTCAATCAATTTTTCCTGCTACCAGTAATGCAACCCTGCGATAGCACGCGACCTGCAAGTTGAGATAGCAGATGATGGAGATTCTAAACTTTCCACAAGTTTAATTATTCTTCTCGAAAGAATAACAGAAATAAATGATATCAAGAAAATGTAGGCACATGAGTGCCTTTTCAGTCATGATGTGGAAAGTTAGGTTAAAAGGTTTATTTTAAGTTGCAATGCATGCGCTCGTCGTGGTCAAGTGGACTAAGGCTTCGCGCGGTCTGCTGCAGCGAGCCCGGGTTCGAATCCTGCTACGGTCGGCTAGGGTTCTTCCAGCGGAGAATCGGAGGTAAGTGAATTTATAGGGTTGCAAATAATATGTCTATATATAATAATGCAGCTAATTGGAATAAAATGCTCATATAATGTAACTTCACGATAAAAAAAAGTGTACCTAAATCCGGTCATATCTCAACATGAAGGGACACGTTCAGAGAAATGCGTTGTGAAGAGCCATAAAGGAATTTCAATAAAATTTCATTTTATACAGCAATCGATGCCATGTATTTTCTTTGGAGTTGTTACCCTGTAATATCACCAAGCGTGCGTTAAAATCCTAGGCTATATATTGCATACGAACTATTATATTTGTATTGTTGAGTAATTAATTTGAATTTAAATTTATCTCAAACGCTTACAATTTTAGCATTTGAGACATAGCAATAGTGGACGCGATACTCATATTGTGGTATTCTAATAAAATGATGTACTTCCGGCAGTCTTTCTCTCATCCTATGCGCTATTGCCGCCGCTTCTTTCTCACTGAGCGCTAAGAGTAGCTTTTAATTACGCGCTCCGGCTGGCTGAGGGGCGTTTTAGACGCCTTCGGCAACTCGTTTTGGGACAAGCCTGGATAGTCACTTTGGTGCGTAGTTTCTACGCACCGATTTGTTTCAGTGTAAGGTGCTAGGCATTTTAAGACTGAACATATGTTCCTGCATAGCTTCGTCTAGTCTGTTCTTGGAGGCGTTCATACTCGGAGCGTCAAAGATGCTATCAGGGCGGCTGTTCCACATCTCAGTGACTCGAAGCGAGAAGAAATGTTGTCGCATGGATGTGTTACAACTCAGTTTTTAGTATATAGCCGTGGCCCCCGGTGTTGGTTCTTGTTTCAAATATTCTAGGACTACTTCTGGGACCTTGTATAAACCGAGGGCATACTTGTATACTTCAAGGAGGTCACCACGCATACGTCGATAACATAGAGTTGGAAGCTTCATAATCTTAAATCTTTCTTCATAAGGCTTGGCTTTTAATCCCGGTATTATCCTTGTAACACGTCTTTGAATGGTATAGGCTGAAGTGTCATCTGAACGTATCACCATAAAATAGGTTTTAACCCGCAAATTTTTTTGGCGTCTTACTGCTACTGTATATAATTTTATATACAGTAGCAAAAAGGGCAAAACTTACAGGTCAAACACTGTAATGTAATTAATATTAAAAAAATACTATCTTGAACAAATTAACGGTCCTTATTTATCATGATAAAACTTAGTATGGGTGGAAATATCAATGAATATTGTTAAATCGATGCAAACCCTTACAAATATCCAATTAGGTTTTCAAAATTGATCTAATTGATTGGATATGAGTAATTACATAACGCCCATTTATGATATATTGCTACAACTATTGGATGATAAGCTTGCCTGTTGGACTTGCTTGAAGATATTTTTCAATATTACCTATCAGCATTCACGTTGAGATTTCATTACAGTTCCCAGCGCACCAACTGATCTCAACATCGAAGCTCTCAACTCCACATCAGTGCTGGTGACGTGGCAAGCTCCCGAGGAGGAGAACGGCATCATCATCAATTACACGATCCGCTGGAAGCTCGCGAGTAGCGGAAGTGAAGCAAACGATGACCAGATAATTACAACACCTGGTGACAGCTACGAGTGCGAAGTACCAGACCTGTTCGAGTGCAAGACCTACGACTTCTTCGTGTCGGCGTCCACCAGCCGTGGCGAGGGAGCGAGAACTACGATGCAGTGGAGCCCCGCTGGAGGTGGGAGTACAGCTCATATTGTGCAAAATCACGATTGAAACATCAACTATTTATCATTAATACACATCTGTGTGTCACTTCTCTAGACCACGAAGTCATTAAAAAAACTGAGTGTAAATTTAATCAGGGAGTAAGATTTTTATAGTGATTCGTCCAGATTTGTTTGCAGTCCTCTCCATCCGCTTCCGAGTGATCGCATGTCGCTAGCAAGTCGTGAAACTAAGGAGACTAGCTATAGTTCACTTTGCGATGAGCAAAGTGAACTATAGCTAGTCTCCTTAGAGAGTTTATAGCAATACAGTGAATTATCTTAATTAACTAATTTTTGCAATTCTTGAAATAATTGATTTGTCTAAGTTTATATAACATTAAAATGAAACACAGATATTTTTCATAACTGTAGGTATTCGAAAAGTAACTAGAGTTTAATGCAAAGCCTTGAAGTTCTTAACGACAGCTTCTCTTGCAGAACCAGAAGCTCCAGGAGCGCTGCGTTGCCGTCAACAAAATGGCGGCTCCATTAAACTATCTTGGACTGCACCAGTCACTACATGTAACATCACCAGATTTATTATCATCTCGGACATATATGTGAAGTGGTCCGGTGATAAATTCAATTCGTCGAATTCGACTGTAGAATCCAAATTCGTGCTTGAAGATCCGATTCCGTACTCCGATTACTCGTTTCAAGTAAAAGCCGTTGTGGAGGAAACCGTGCCCGGGGCATCTGGTTCTTGCCATGTCTTGACTGCAGAAGCTGGTAATACTCTCTTGGGACTCTCTTGCTGCGTGTATTTATATATTCGGCTTCAAGTAGGTCCGAAAGAATCTTGCTCTTTACGTTTTATCCTTGTTCACGACCCCTATTCTAGTGTACATTAATTATACCAAACTTTCAACTGTCATTGAAGCTGGATAATAGCTGCCTTTCGTTGTAGTTGCCCAATGAATCTGAAAGATTTTAGAATGGATTTTTGTGAAAATATTTGTTTTTGCATATCTTTGAGTGATGTTTAATTTCTTTACATTTGTTCAACATTTGAGGAATCTAATGTGAATATTTTCTCACGGCCCCTTGAAGCTCCAAGTGCACCTCAAAACTTGACATTGTTGGAGGCCAGGAGTGACGCTCTTGTCGTTCAGTGGGACGCGCCAGCAACACTAAACGGCGTCGTGCGTTATTACTCGGTCATAAGCAGCCGCGGCACCGACGTGATCACCAACCAAACTATTGAAGCTTCAGTTGATCAAACTCGCTTCAATTGTACCGTGGCCGGACTCAGTGCAGGCACAGAGTACAACATTAGTGTGCGGGTGAGTTCAATTAAAGGCTCTAATTACACGATTACCCTATTTTGTGTTTACCTGATGTAACTGACAACCCTTGTGGCAATTTCGAACTATCGACGAAAAAAATATGGGGCTGTAAGTATTTTACCATGTACTGCCGCTCTGTAAATTCACGCTGATTCTAATTTGATTTTTTTTACAACTTATGTTGAAAATTATTAAGCTAAACACACTCAATGCAGGCACAAAATATTAGATATAGAATGAAAATGTAATTAATTAATATATAAGATTTCTACATGATATAACAGGTAGGCTCGCTAATTCTGCCTTGAAATGAAGAACCTTGATGTCGTCTGCATAAACTTTCATAAGCATATTCTATCAATTTGTCGTTCCCACCTACAGGCAGCCACGAATAAAGAAGGTAAAGCTGAGGTGAAGCCGTTCATTACTTCGCCAGAAAACAAGTCTGGAGGCGTGGTGGCGGGCATCGTCATTGGCTGCCTGCTGGGGGTGGCGCTGGTCGTGGGGCTCGTGGTTGTCATCTACAAACGTGACGACATTCGCAAGAAGTTCTTATGAACCAATACTGAAGAAGTCAGTATTGGTGGTTGTGACTATGCTCTCTTCTCGTGCTCTCTTGTAACCCACTTTGATTAAGCAGCCTTTTCACCGAGAAGTGCGCGTCACTTAGGAACTACAAACTCTACTTTATTTGTCTCTGTTTCTACTCTTATTTTATACATACTCTGCATTCCTATCATATACCTGTGTTTTTGCTCCGCCCTCCCCATACCTTCAAGTCCCTTTCTCCAGGGGTACTACTACCTCGAACCCGACGGGTTTGTCCCAGAGGGATAAAGGCAGTAAGGCAAGACGACCTAGACGTCACCCGCCCTCATCTTCATCCGCATCCAACCCATCATCAAACTTATCAGAATGCTCCAGACCTCAGACTTACCGCATCCAACTGAAAGAATTGACCCAAGAATACCGACGGACCGACCCAAAATATTCCACACAACCTTAAAAGAACGCGACGCCCCACTCATCAGACTGTCCGACACTGCATGCTACCGTTTTTACGTCGCAACCGACGAGGCCACTGCAATTTTTTAACTGACTTAAAATAAAGCGACCGATGCATTCCTGAAAATCAATCTGACACCCGTTATACCCACAGACCTTCGAGCTAAACGGACCATTTTTGTACGACAACTAAACAGGGAAGTAGGAAGCCAGACTGCTGACGAAATCAAACACAAAATCACTACACAACAGAACTGGCTACATATACAGGACAGCATCAAAACCGAACACTACACGCTCGCCATCAAAATCACCACAGACACCATACTAGACTAAATCGGGTTCGCCAACGGATTTTACAACAGACTTCACGAACAACACTAAAACCACACCTTCACAGTGCGAACAAGACCAATACAAACATTTAGTCATATGCTACAAATGTTACCATATACGTAGAAGACCGCCCTATACACATCTATCACTCCCTCTTGTTTTAAATGCGCCGCAAAAGACCACACATAAACCCAATGCACTAACACCTACAAGAAATATATCAAATGTCACAACGACCACCGCACACTAGCCGCCAACTGTCCATGCCGTAGGCAAAAATACAAAACAAACCATCAACCACAAAATCAAGCAAACATATCTCGACATAGCCAAACAAGCAATTAAACGAACATAACACAACATAGCCTGACGTTGACGGACAAGATACAAATAAAACTGACAGCAATAATACTCGAAGTACATATCGCCAGCCTCTCGCGACAGGGGAGTTTCGGCAGCATACTCTCCAAAATATTGACACGACTTTTCCCGATAGAGACTCCTCAAAGATTTTCAACTTCTTTCATAACCAACCTGAAACCAAGACTTCCGACATCAACTTCAACCTCCAAACAAAATATATTTATGACGACGAAAACGAAGAATTAGTGACGAACAATATGATGAATCACCCATTTCAATGCCAGAAAGAGACAAAATAATAGCTTTTACACTATTTAGAAGCATCAATGACCCCAACCCAATCCCTGCCTTATTCCCTCGCAACAGCTGATATCTTGACGAACTGAGATATATAGATCGAATTCGAACTGAAACTCTCGGTGTAAGACTGACGCTCTAAAAAGTTATTGACTTTTTGAGACGAGTCAAATTTAAATTCAACAAGCCCACAATCAACAGCATCCCTCGCGACACCTTCATTACCATGGACAGGCACACAACCATAAAAACAACCACCGCCAAAAACCAAAATAATCTTCATCTACAAATGCTCCTCCATCATGACGCATCAACCAACACTAAAGATAATACAACGCAATGTCCGTCACTGGCATGATAAAAATATTACATTATCATATATTTACAACACAGATCCCGACATCATTTTTAATAACGATCTCTTTATCACAGACAACAACACCCCACTCAAGATATTAAACTACAACGTCCAAAGTTGCAATAAAGACAACACGATATTCTCCGGGGTTGCCATAGCAATCAAACGCCATATTCCATACAAACTACACGACAACTTACATACAGATATAAGCAATCACAACAGATACCCAACAAGGACCTATCACAATATAGGAACTACATACATCCATAGGTTACATCAACTGCATTGACTTGCACTCACATTTGAATAGACCGCATCCCGCATACCTCATCGCCGATTTAAATGCTATATAGACATACCATCCTAAGAAATTCCTCCTCCAACCACAGAGGTAAACAACTAAACTAACTCATAACCCGACACAAGTGCATTCACATTGGCCCATACTTTCCAACCCTCCACACACATAACAAAACAACATCACCAGGCATAGTCTTAACCAACATACACGTACAACCATGCAAGACCCATCACACCATCAGACCACTTTTCAATAATAGCCACAATATCTGCTAACCCATACAAACTCCCTTTTGCCCTCGCAGATCCTTCCATAGAGCCAACTGGACCCAATATAAACAAACATCATCACAGTACATAGTCCCCATACAAAAAGACCCAACTGTAGAAGAAAGTGATACAGATATTGATAACTAGACAAAACAAATACAGGACGCAACTGGCACCTCTATCCCCACTATAACACAACGCATTACTCCCGGTGTCAAACCTATGCTCACGAAATCTAACTCTTACCAACACAATATTAAGCCGCTTTATAACACATCCACACCTACGGTCCATCGCTTGTTCTCAACAGACAACTCGTAACTTTACGCCAACAACTACACACAGCATAGATACTTCAAAACACAGATATGGCAGGGCCTCTCCTTCACTCTGGATACCCAAACAGATCCAATAAATCTTTGGTCATCCCTAAAACGCATACTAGGCTCTAACACCAAACAAACCATACCATACCTTAAACACAACACACAACACGACACACCAGAACAAAAAGAACCTCCTTAAACACAACACACAACACGACACACCAGAACAAAAAGAACCTATCTCCCGGAAACACTGGCAAGAGATATTCATACAGGACGAAGGACGACATAGACAACGAAAACTTCGACATTGAACACATCCACACCATACAANCCTCAACAACCTTACAAGAAGACTCCACCTGATAGACTTCAGTGCGCACTAAAACATTTAAACAGAAAGCACCTGGTTCCACAGCCATCACAACTCAAACACCTACCAAAGCATGTTACATTACCTTCCACACATATTCAATCACTACATTTCCCTTGGTTACTTTCCTGACTCCCTAAAACACGCCATAGTGATCTTCCATCCAAAACCCACCACTTCGCAACACCAAGTTCAAAACTACAGACCAATTTCATTACCAGACATAGATTAGAAGCTTTTGAACAAAATACGCAACAACAGAAAATATGAACACCTCATCATCCACAACATACACATCACGGTTTTAGGAAACACAGATGGGACACATAGAGCAATAGCCACACTCCACGAAACACTCGCCATAAACACAACACAAAGACACACTACCGACATAGTGCTCCGCGACGTGACCAAAGCCTTCGATAAGGTTTGGCACGCCGGACTAGAACACAAAATCGTCCAACTCAACCTTCACCCATTCTTCACTAAAACACTTGCAAATTACCGCACAGACAGAACAGCATTTATTAGAAGAGGCAACTATATACATAGGTCCCCCACTCCAACTTCATACACAGGTGTTCCCAAGGGGACGGTCTCTCCGGGGACGGACACAGATTATACAGCACTCCCTTACGATATAACACAAATAATAACAGAACGATACAACCACAACTATGCTGCACTGCAAACACAACACGCCATCCTACAGATAAACAAATTCGAAAACAAATGGCTAATTAGGACCAACACTTCGGAGTTCAAAATGATCCTCATCACCAGACAAAAAACATCTGACATAGTCATAGACAACACTCACATAGTCAGTGACAAAACTCGCCCATACACAAACTACGGAACGGTCTTAGGATTATTACTTACAACTCGTGGTTTTAGGTCCCAAATAACAGTTAGGAAAGCAATAGCCCTTGCAAATCTTCATAAAATATGTGGATTCTACCACCTACTTCCAAACACAATACGCACTCTATACATCACCTTTGCTAGGTCATCTCTCATTTATCCTCCAATACCCCAACACACTCTAACCAAAACAGCTGAATCCCAATTGCAGAAAGTCCAAAATAGAGGCCAGAAATTTACCACCTTTCCAATCACCCGCTAAAAGCCTTAAAGGCTTAAACCGTCCAAAGCCCTGACTGGTTCCCAACCCCCTTCCCTCAAACCCCAATTTAACTCCACTCACCTACAGCCCATTCAACCTGCGCAATGCGCCTTTTTCATCTCCTACTGTCTTTTCCATTCTCCTTCCTCTTTCTGGCCACTTTACGCCACCTCTTCAACTCTTCCACTGTTTCCTAGTGGCACCGAAACAAAAAAGTTCCTATCACAACCTTCCAATTTCTCCCAAACAAATGACAATTTCCTGCGCAAAAAACTTTTAAGCATAATAAATTGGGTCACATGCCAGATGCAAGTGAGAATAATCTCACGAAAACAGGTCCCACTCCAGTAATAATATTATTCTTATTTAGAAATGGAATAGGGAACCACTTATTATGCCCACGTTAATTTTCGGAAGAAGCATTGCCTTCATCCGATATTGATTGCTTATATAGATTAATCTTAATATTATGAACCGCAGAATATTGTATGTAGTAGAAAAATATTAATGTCCTCAGCTAGGATGTGGCAGCATGGCGAACGTGCGTGATATGGAGTTGATAGGTCTAGGCGCCAACAAAACCGGCGCTTTGATGAGGATGAAAAATCAACTGATGTTCTGTTACCAGTGAAGGATGAGTATAATGGACGTAGTATTCATTTTGCTGCAAGTTGTAATGTTGAGTTGCTGCAAGGTCAATCTGCGAATGAAGCACATTGAACTCATTTTAGTTTCATAGTCAAAGTCAGGTTTCATAGTCCAACTTTCAAGCAGCCTGTAGAACTGTAGCGATTTCGTTCATAATTTTGAATTATTTTAATGAAAATATTTAGAAATTTAGAATTAGATTTAATTGTAGTGTTAAGATTTCTTTATACATGAACGTCACCACAATGAATACGACATCAGCTAACTTCAGTCCAGCTTTTAGTATTTTTGATACAGTGCGCTAGAACCTCTTATTAGAGTAAGTACTGAAGTGTTGCAACAGTCATCCTGTACTAATTACTTTGTTTAATAGTAATTTGATTTATGCTGTTCATAATTGTTTTCTATGTATTTGTATTTATGTAACTTGTAACAATATATTATTTATACAGGGTTCAATACTGAAACCAGAAAAACGTCTTTTATTTTCACAAAACCTGATCGTGAGATGCTTTAGAACACGTTCGCAATTTGTACAACTATCTGAATAAATTAGTGAAATTATTCACGGAGTTCAGTCACAGACTTTAAGGTTTTAGCTTATAGTTCTGGTGCTTCCGATCTGCGTATTTTGGAATCCTTGTATATTTTTAAAGAGAAGCCTAGTTTAAATGCTGCCTATAGTTCTTATCCATTAGAAATTGTGAATAGATAGGTACTTACTTTATTATTCTGCCATTTGTCTGTAAATTTAGGTTTTTAACTTCTGTGTGTGTATTTTTTTTATTAACTCCAAACTAATTTTCTGCATTTATCTGTGTTCTAGATTTATCGAACTGACGATGGAGCTGGTCTCCGAAACGTTTTCAAAAGAGATATGCTAAATTTTTGTGGTGTTTTTTTCGCTTTTAAATTTCTAGCTGTATCCAAATTGCAGAAAGTCCAAAATAGAGGTCTGAAATTTACCACCTTTCTAGTCACCCGCTTAAAGCCTTAAAGGCTTAAACCGTCCAAAGCCCTGACCGGCTCCTAACCCCGTTCCCACAAACTCCAATTTAACTCCACTCACCTACAGCCCGTTCAATGTGCGCAATTCACCTTTTTTATCTCCTACTGTCTATCTCTATTCCATTCTCCTTCCTCTTTCTGGCCACCAAAGCTTAATAGATTGGGTCACATGCTAGATGCAAATGAGAATAATCTCATAAAAACAGGTCCCACTCTAGTAATAATATAATTTATATTTAGAAATGGAATATGGAACCACTTATTATGCCTACGTTAAATTTCGGAAGAAGCACAGCCTTCATCCGATATTGATTGATTATATAGATTGGTCCCAATATTATGAACCGCAGAATATTGTATGTAGTAGAAAAATATTAATGTCCTTAGGAAGTGGCAGCATGGCGAACGTGCGTGATATGGAGAAGGAAGGTCTCGGCGTAGTATTCATTTTGCTGCAAGTTGTAATGTCGAGTTGCTGCAAGGTCAATCTGTGAATGAAGACAGATTGAACTTATTTAAGTTTCATAGTCCAAGTCAGGTTTCATAGTCATTTAGTTTCATAGTCCAACTTTCAAGCAGCCTGTAGAACTGTAGCGATTTCGTTCATAATTTTGAATAATATTAATAAAAATATTTAGAAATTTAGAATTAGATTTAATTGTAGAGTTAAGATTTGTTCATACATGAACGTCACCACAATGAATACGACAACAGCTAACTTCAGTCCAGCTTTTAGTATTTTTGATACATTGCGCTAGAACCTCTTATTGGAGTATTAAAGTACTTATAAGTGTTGCAACAGTCATCCTGTACTAATTACTTTGTTTAATAGCTAATTTGATTTATACTGTTTGGAATTGTTTTATATGTATTTGTATTTATGTAACTTGCAACAATCTGTTGTTTATACAAGGTTTTATACTGAGACCAGAAAATGTCTTTTATTTTTACAAAACCTGATCGTGAGATGCTTAAGAACACGTTCAAAATTTGTACAACTATCGGAATAAATTAGTGAAATTATTCACGGAGTTCAGTCACTTGGAGTTTGTTTCGTAATGCATAACATTATTATTTTTTCATTCTTCTTACAGAAATAGTGATAATTTCCTTTCGTATTAAATACCCACTGCATAATGATTTACCGAGCAACGAGTAATATATCATGAATACAATGACTTCTCACCGAAGTCATACACGTCTCAAGCACAGAAAGTGTCACCGGCTCCTGGGTCACTTCATTGGAACAATGAATTTAGTGATCGTAAGCGTAACAATTTTAAGAAATTTCAAAGCCCCATTTTCCATTCTTTTAGCGCTGACTTGCAAATTATAATCTTTTTATCCGTACGAGTTAATAGTCCACTCTTTGAGTTATTACGTAGGGGGCATGTGCGATTTCGAATGATTCATATTTTAGTAACTGTGCATTGAATTTCTCAAACATTTTAATTTGAAATAATTCTTTATAATATTTTTTGTATAAACAATCTATTTAAACTGAAATTTAAGATTATTTTTTTTCTTTTCAAAGCTTTCACACTACTTAACTGATGCTACAATATACAGAAATCAGTACATTTGTTGCCAAATAAAAAGCATAATAATTATCGCTACGAGAAGCATTCCACAATATCAACCCAGTATTATTTTCATACCATTTTTTATTATAAAGTTGAATGTTGCGCAAATGAATGTAAAATGTATGCACGATGATATTATAAACAAATGAACCTTGAATCAATTGACAATAACAATAAATTTATTCTCATCAAAGAACAAACTTCAACATCTAAACCGACATTCGATTTGGAGGTTCACTTCTAGGTACAGTTTCTGGTAGATTTAAGATATTTTAAAATACAATTTAATTTGGAGTTTATTAGAAGGCTGAAGATGTTGATTGGTAGAACTTGGAGTTTGTCATTGTACTCGAGAGGTACGATCAAGAAAAATTCACCGCGACCGCAGAAATGTCGATTTCCAAAACAAATAAATCATTCAAAACCTGCAGGCATGTTTGGACCCTTTTACTGCAATACACGACATTTAAAACGCATATGCTTTCTACCGGCGAATTATTTCAATCAACATTTCTATTGTATAATCAAATTTGTGCGCGATATCAGTTGGCCTTGGAATATAGATGTTCATTCCACTTTATGAATTCATTAATTAATGTATAAATTGAAAGAAAGAATTAAGTAAATGAACCAGAATAGAATTTTTGTAACTAAATTTTTTATTCCGCGTAACTCAAAATCCTACTCGATTCCGTCTTTAACCGAGCAAGGATGGAGAGGCAATTCTTTTCTGTGCCTTCCATTGATCTACGAAGCATTTTTACCGAGATCAATCTAATTATACTCTGAGGTAATAAGGCGAACCAAACACCCGAAACTCCATAGCGTAACAACAAAACTTGCTCCATAACTCATATGTATCACAAAAGTATTTAGGTATAAATTTAAGGTATTCAGCATCTCTATTAAAAGAAACGTTCTTCGTCTCATCCTCACTGAATTTTGTGACAGGAGGCATTTCGGCCAGTCAATAAATAATATTTATTATTATTATTGTTCATGAGTGGGTGCAAGGACTCTTTTCTTCAAGCAAAATAAATTAGTTTTCCGTAACATAAAATTTTTGAGCCAAAAATTTTTTGCAGCATACGATAGAGCTTTTTTACATAGAAGTGATAAAATAGCAGAAGCTTCAAAACTGATACCAATAGAAGAAAATTACAACAGTCACCTACGAACATATATTACTCCCCACACGCGTATAATTAGCAGTATGATACTTTTGAAACCTTATTATTAAAGAATCTTCAACAGAGATTTCCAGGGTTTGTTTTCGTTCTATGACTGATTTATAAGATATCATCGGTAGTCGGAAGTAAACGAGAATGAAGTGCTTCTTCCGCCATCAGTTTTTATATCTTCCCACTGTGTTAAAATTGCACACTGAAGAACCGAAAACAAAAGCCAAAAAGAACTTTGAAGAGCATAAACCTTTTCTGTGTAGCAGTGGCCACTGATAAACGTCGATCAAAGTTGCAACACGAGATAAGTCTCGCAGTCATGCACCATGATGGCCTCTGCGAACAATATCACCTGAAGACGGCTGCCCAGTTGGGAACTGAATTTCACGATAAGAAAAATAATTAGAGTATCCATCAAAATTACCATAATTCCTAAGAACAGTTATACAATTATTTTATGCAAGTATAAATGCTTACTGGGAAGTCAACAACCCAACTGTAAATCGTTTCGGTATTTTCCAAAAGATTGAGATTGAAATTCATCGAATTAGGGAAATCTGTCACTCATTTGCCGGGGTGCATAAGTCGTTAATGAGTTAAATGGAGCATTTTGCATTTGCAAAATGCATTTTTTAGATGCATTTTTCACATAACCATAGCCTGCATGAACTATCGAACTCGAACTAGCCGAAATTTCGACAATTCACTTCCATTACACTAGCGAATGGGAAAACATGAGCGCTTACAATCGCTGAAAGTTGCATTGTGCGAGTAGAATAAGGTTCTCTATGACAAAATGGGACGTATATAGCGAGAGGGAGTCAAAAGACAATGATTGAGAGCGTATTGCTAATCGGACTAGGCCAATTAAGATCTGACTCGTACAAATACTCTTGAATGCACTGAGTAACATACCAATTAAAAATTAGGAACAACATTTCTACAATCAGGCAGCCTAGGCTATATCTAGAAACCTTTTTTATGATGGAAAAGATAACGACGGTTATGAGCTTCATTGCTGATAACGGTAATAGAGAAGGAAATACCAATAATAATAGTACGTATATTACTTCAGATGCTACAATTTTTAATTGGTTATGTAACGCGGCGTTCACTCACAATTACCCCAATTTTAATGTTTGAGACACATTTGATATAACCATCTTATTCGTTTCATGTTAACTAACTGAAGAAATTTTGAATGGGAAGCAATAACTCCGCATCTGTGACTGATGCTTAGGGAGAGTCAATTATGGGGAATCAGTTTTGAACGAAAATAATGACTTATAAATTCCACGTAATCATAATATCTTCGAGCAAAATTTCACTGCAATCTGGAATGGTATACATAGACATACAAGCTCCTCAGCATATCGCAAGAGCTGCTGATAACAAGCGATAGAAGTTGCAATGCTCGATAACGCTCGCAGTCAAGGTACTGCAGTCGTTAGTCACTGCACTATACATACAAAGGTGTTCTAAAAGTTCGTGGAAAAACAACCCTTTGAAAAAACTATCAAAGTCATAAGTTTTATTTTTATACCTATGTTCTATCTAGGTCAATACATTTCTGTGAACGCTTATACCAGCCATTAAGTCCATCTGTGTAAAATTGTCATGCGATTTAAATCATGTTCTGGCAGCTCATTTTGCTGTTTCAATTGGCAAAAATGGGTAAATTTAAATGTTTTTTTTTCAGGTTTGGAAATAAAAAGAAGTTGAATGGGGCTAAGTCGGAACTATAAGGTGGATGCCGAAATAAATTAATAAGTTCCCATCAGCATCCCAGAAAACCTTCCCTCTTGAACGCTCCGATTTTTTTTTTTTGTCGAGCCCACTTCCTCCCCTGAACAGCCACAGCTTCGAATGAGTTTTGTCCTCGAGATTGTATTGGTAGAGCCACGTTTCAACCCGTCACAATCAGCGTAAGAAAAAATTCCAGCGGAGTGCCTGCTAAGTCCCAAACTGCCAAACAGAATTGTTTGTGTGCAACCCACGGAGATGTTGAGTGTCTCTGCTACTGATTTGGTGGATTTTGGCCGATCTCCTGAGATCACGAGCAGCATCAATGTTTTCTCGCACACGCAGATGTGCGTGGCCTGCCTCAGCAAGGGTCATCGTGGGTCTCATTTCTTTCGCTTCTGGAACGACTTATCCATTTGTAGGTTACTGATTTATTTGAGGCACTGTCGCAATAAACTCGTTCCAGAGAGTAAAAGATTTGGCAGTTCTCCCACCCAAGCTTCACCATGAATTTGTGTTTGATCTGGCCTCTATTTCGGCAGATGCCCTTGTTGCATGAACAGTTGTGGACTTAAAAACAGCACACCGTGTTGGTAGCGTTAATTTAAGGGTTAATGCGAGAACACATTATTAAACATTGATAAAGGATCGTTCTGGTGCATTGACATAAGAACTTTTCTCATTTAATTTTCAGTTAAGTCCTTTTTCCACGAACATTTTGAAGCCCATTCGTACCCCCTGAAAGTTCGACCAAAATCAGGAATTAAATTTTATGTTCGTCATAATTTCAAAAACAATTTCCTCCCAAAATTAATTATTTAGAATATATTTAACAGTGCCAGACCAGAAACAAAATTACTAAATGTGACTGCATGATTATACGACACGTCATCGAGAAACGGCGTAATTTTAATTTATTGCATGAATTTATAATTCACATTTAAAACAAGTTTCATCGACACATACAACGAACCGTAATTCTTCGTTCAACAAAAAACATAGGAAAAAATTAGCTCTTAAAATCGCCACAAAGCTGAATTGGCCGGCACTGAATATGTTGTGTAATTTTGTTTGTAAGAAGCAATAAGACGGACACTAACAATTGTCGTGGATCTTCGATGCTATTGCTGGAACTGAGGCAGAGGAGCGAAATGGTGAAGTTGTCACTGCTGCAGGAATGCCTGTGCTGCCTACTGGTGTCCTTCACTCTCCAGGTACTCACTATGATCGACTGATGGTCAGTTATTATGAGCTCCTCTCAAAGAGCAATATTTTGTTTCATCGATGTATAGAAATTTTTAGATTAAAAACTGCATGTACTCTAGTGACAAATTAGATAATTTGTCATTCAATTCTTATATCGTAATTTATTCAGAATTAATATCCTCTCCAGTATTACTCAAGTTTCATATGTTTTCTGGCACATTGTGATTAATGAAGTCCAACTTTAACCAATTAGAATGGATTTGGGCAACAAAAAAAATCATATATGTAAATGGGCGTCAAAAAATGTTCCGAATTGGGTGTTGCAATTAGTATGTTCTGAAGACATTTGTTCCCTAATCCACTAATAACCCATTTGGTGGCACGTAATGACTTCAGAATTGGTAAAAGTTTTTCTGCGCAGCTAATTTGGAACACAACATAGCGTACATATGTAATAGCCTTGTAATAATTGTAATGCCTTGATCAATTCACTTCCAAGAAAATAAAAATGCCATGATCTGTCTATAATTTTATATATGAATCGTTTTATTTGAAAATTTTCTATATTTTCTTTATGCATAAAATGTTTATATACATTTTTTAACTTTTCCTTCTACAGATTCAGGCCCTGCACGCTCAAGGTGAGTATAGCATTTTAACTACATCTCCAACACATTGCAAGGAATAAAATTTCAATATCTTCAAGTGTTAAATGTTCACATGAAGTTTTTCAAAACTACCAAAATACTATAATAGTTAACATGATTACAAATGAGTATTTAACATGAAAGATTTCACTGAAAAATAAAATAGGGCGGCGTTGTGGCGTTTAACGGGTAATATTTATTGCGCAAGATAACATATAAGATAGCATCGAATCACACTACATTGGAACAGCGATTACGATATCAAGTAAAAAGTAAGGAACTCGTGCAAAAGTTTGATAGTACTCTTTTAATTTACGTACAATAATTCATTATACGGTATGACATTTATGGCTATTTATATCAGATGTATTACTGAATTTTCTACCCTAGCAGGAGCTGCAGGAAGCCAGCAATTCCCGTCAAAGGTCGTTTTCTTAAAGGCGCGTGACGCTCCTGCGATTTCATTGCAATTCTTCCATGTGAACTTTGATAATAATATCGTTCATTAGTAGGCTATTGAACTATCCAGGGTGCGTCAAGATACTCAATTGGACTAATTAATTGTTCAACGATCTATTTGACATGGGCTTTCATACCGTTAAATAACACGATGCAGGGACATACGAGGAATATAAGTCACTTCAATGTAGATTGGGCAGACATTCTACAATCCGCTCATACTCTGCGATGGTAGAATGATTTTTAATCGTAAACTAATTTCACTCTAGATGTGGTGAGCCAGTTGAAGCTTTTTCCAAACGTGACGATGATCGACGCGACGTGGGAGCTGCAGGAGCCAACTGCTGAAGTTTCTAGGTACTATGTATCATGGATACCTGATGGACTAAGCGTCCCTGCTGCATCTTGTTACATTGACTCGCCTGCTACCAGCACCTCGGCCTGTGATGGATACCAGACCTTAGACAGCTGCACTTTCTACAACGTCACGGTGCAGCCCATGGCATTAGATGGGAGCACTGAGGTCGACACTGGCACCCCTGCATCCGCAGCAGACTACACCCTGCAGGATGGTGAGCGGGGCGAGCATAGTTTACTTCGATTCGAACCGGTAGTGCGAAAAAAATCCCACATGATGCTGGGATTTTTTTGATGCTGGGTAGTGCGAAAAATCCCACATGATTCAAGCATTTCTTGCTTGAATATTAAATTGAAACATCTTTCCTCGTGCCTTACGCGAATTACTCCATCAACTTGAGCACGCAGGACGAACCTCATCTTGCAACCTGCGTGACTCAAACTGACGAAGCCAGTGAGTTGTTGTGTATGTAAGTCATAAAAACTAAATGTGGACATCCCTAAGGTTAAAAGGAATTTACCAGAAAATAAAATCAGTACCTTGCGCTATCAATACTATTGCTGTCAATTCAAATTTCAGAGCCTTCAGCACCACTGGACCTGAATTTCGAGGCCGTGCAGGCGACATCATTCACAGCGACGTGGCTGAAACCCACGCAGGAGAACGGCCAGCTTGGTGCCTACCAAGTGAGGTGGTGGAGCGAGGGAGGCAAGGCAACAGTTCAGAATGTCACTGAAACTCGACTAAATATTACGGATCTGAATGCTTGTGATACGTACACCGTAGCTGTTGCGGCAACAACAGGTGCTGGACCTGGAGATGAAATTCAGGCGAACCAGACAACTGACGTGTCAGGTGAGCAGAGCAGGTGCATGCTTAATTTCATTCAGATTTGTGAAGAAGGATTTCAGATTTGTGAAGATTAATATTGAAAAATTCTGAGAAAAATTTATTTGTATTTATTTGAAATATTGTAATTATGTTACTTTTGTTGAATATATATTGCTTCATGTAACAATGGTATTGTATCCAACATGTCTATCCTCGTCTGTTTGCCAGAAATTTACGTAAGATAATGTGAGGCCATCTGGAAAAATTATAAATGAGTTTTCTTCTCGCGGTTCTTTTCCCTATACACCTAGTACCGCCACCGGGGCCACCTCCTGAAGTATCGTCCGAGGCAAGTCGTAGCGTCAACCTGACGTGGACCAAACCTGCCACTAAATGCGAGGTCGTCAACTACACCGTTGTGTACGGCGGTCAGGTCATGTGGGGAAACCAAGCAACCTTGGAGGTTAACTCTGCATATTCCGAGACTACGACGATAAATATCACTGGTGTGACGCCGTACAGCAACTACTCCTTCTCTGTTGTGGCGGCGACTGCAGCTGGGGAGGGGGAGCCTTCTCTGCCAACTTACTATGTAACGGAGGAAGATGGTGAGTGGGGAACATTGTGAGGCAAGATGATGGCGAGTAAGTCAGGCAACTTGTGTTTGAGTTAGATGAACACAACTATTCGCAGGTACATGTTTTATTACAAACGAGTTGCTCTCCGAAAAAGATTAATTTATTTCATTAATGTGCCGACTTATTTATCAGCACTGCTGTACCTACATGACTCGATAAAAATATTTGTGCAAATTCAAATTAGGATCAAATTAGGTCGCAATTGCATCACCGAATATTGAATACGTATTTACCTCGGCTTCTGAGAAATGTCCCGTTCAAACTTTTAATGTGAAGATCGCAGCAGCCTCAACACTTCACTTCTTGAGAACGAAGATGACATATTTCCTGAACACAAGTTGTTCAGCACCCGTGATACATTTTTCTGTCCAGTCATTGAGGGGTCTCCTAAGTCAGGGCTTGATCGGTTACTCTGTATGTGCGTAGGATTATGTATCGTAGTTCTAATGATTGTAAATTCGTTCGTCTTAATTTTTTTATCTTGACGAAACTGGAATTGAAACGCTTGTACCGATTTGAATGGTACCTAGATATAGGCTGAAATTACATCTGAGCATACCATCATAAAATAGGCTTTAACTCGAAAATACTTTTTGAGACATTCTGCTAGTTTAGAGAATTATATAATTAGTAGTATTTAGGCTAAAACTTACAGGTCAAGCATTGTAATATAAATAATATTTTTAAAAGATACTATCTTGAACAAACGGTCGCTGTGTTGTAAAACTTAGTATAGGTGGAAATACCAATAAACATTGATATAAATTCATACTTACCCTTACAAATATCCGGTTGGGTTTTCAAAATTCATCCAATTGATTGGATATGACATATGAGTAATTATAAAAGGCTCCTTTTTGATATTATGTTTCAACAATTGTTTATAAGCCTACTTGTTGGACTGGCTTGAAGACAGTCTTTCTAATATTTCCCATCAACCTATCCTATCCTATCAGTTCCCAGCGCACCAACTGATCTCAACATCGAAGCTCTCAACTCAACATCAGTGCTGGTGACGTGGCAAGCTCCCGAGGAGGAGAACGGCATCATCATCAAGTACACGATCCGCTGGAAGCTCGCGAGTAGCGAAAGTGAAGCAGACGATGACCAGATAATTACAACGCCTGGTGACAGCTACGAGTGCGAAGTACCAGACCTGATCGAGTGCCAGACCTACGACTTCTCCGTGTCGGCGAATACCAGCCGTGGCGAGGGAGAGAGAGCTTCTATGCAATGGAGCCCCGCTGAAGGCGAGTGTACTTCCAATATTGTGCAGAATCACGATTAATATATCAAATATTTATCATTAATCAGTGGTGGGCACAACTAACCGAAATGTTAGCTTCAATAACCGTTAATCCGCTAATTGAAAAGTCAGCTTTTATAACGCGAAATACATAAATCGCTAACAATTTAGCTGAATTTACTGCTAACCGCTAACTTTTAGTATATCAATTTAGCTTTGGTTTAATTGTTTGGGGGGTTCTGAAACTCTGAAAAACACAACTAGAGAGCTGAACTTTTAATATGTTGTAGCATTGACAAGGAGCTTTCAAAAAAGGTATAGCATGCCAAGATCAGATGATGATCAATTAAGATGTACATAAATAATTAAATGAACAAATGAAATTAAGCAGTAGTTGACATTAAACATACAGTTTTTTAAACAAATAAGAAAGTGTTAAACGAATAAGAAATAATGCGAAATAAAAACACACGGGTAAAATCAGGGTTACACACTGCTTTACTCTGGCTTGCCTTACATCTCTTCGAGGTGATAATCATTGCCCTTGATGAACATCAGCCTCTCTGCCCTTGATAAACATCAGCCTCTAGATGCTGCGTCAATCAATTATGTAGCAGTTACACAAGACGTGATTGCTTGACGTACATATGTTGATGTCATCAGCCATCAGTGTGGCACCCGGCTAACGTTACTTAGGATTAAACATTAACACCTGAATTTTCTATCAGAAGAGATTTTTAAACATTATTATCAGACTGCCAGTCAGCGGAACTAAATTTAGCGGAAGCTGATTGGTCCGCTAATGGTTTTCAAAGTTAGCTGAAAAGCTAATCCGATAAGGAAAATTCGCTAATTAGCGGTTCGCGGATTAGCGGAAGTGTGTCCACCATTGTCATTAATACACAGTTGTGTGACACCCGTCTCGGCCACGAAGCCATTCAAAAACTGAGTGCAAATTTAATCAGGGAATAATATATTTAGTGACTAGTCCAGATTCATTAGCAGTCCTCTCGACCCGCTTCCGAGTGATCGCATGTCATTAGCAAGTCGTGAAACTGAATTGACTTGCTGATTTAATTTGCTCTATCTAGAATTTGATGAAATAGAGTGCTTAATTAATTTTTTTTTCAATTTTTTAAATAAATAATTTGTCTAAGTTTATGTAACATTAAAATTAGACGCAGATATTTTTCATGACTGTCAGTATTAGAAAAGTAACTGGAGTTTAATGCAATGCCTTGAAGGTCTTAACGACAGCTTCTCATGCAGAACCAGAAGCTCCAGAAGCGCTGCTTTGCCCTCAACAAAATGATGGCTCCATTGAACTATCTTGGACTGCACCAATCACCACATGTAACATCACCAGATTTATTATCATCTCGGACGTATATGTGAGGTGGTCCGGGGATAAATTCAATTCGTCGGATTCGACTGAAGTGTCCAAATTCATGCTTGAAGATCCGATTCCGTACTCCAATTACTCGTTTCAAGT